TTATTTTATTAATATTATCTTATCAGTTTTGCCTCTACATTGAAAGGAAGGAGATTCAATGGGATAAGACACAAACTATGCCATCGCCATATTATGTAATTAAAAAAAAACTATTTTATTTACTCAGCCTTGAATAAACTGCCGTGAAGGATTATTAAGTCGTAACCCATTTTTACATTAATAGAACACATGGTCTTCTTTGGGAGCTCAAAACAAACATTTAATTCATTATTAATTAAGTACATTACATTTGTTTATCTTTGCTAATAATTATGACAATTTGGGTAATGAACCTGATAATCTTCTGTCCTTTCAAATTCCTTTGGATTAATATAAATAATTTATAATTAAATAATTTATGAAACAACTCAGCTCACGCCAAAGATAAATAAACATTTTAAGCAAACAATTAAACAATTCAAACAGAGAAATAAACAGTTCAGAAACTAGTTATTGCTAACTATCAAAACAACCAGATATAAAATATATATTTTTTTTGTACCAAAGAGTTTGTATATTTTAATAAATTTTAAATATCAAATATAAAAAATATGCCGAATATTAATATTCTAATATGACGTAATATGATTTTAATTTTAACAATTTTTTTTACTATCACCTTACTACTAGTTTTCCTTAATCACCCTATATTCTAAGAGTTATCTGTTTCTGACTCAATAGCATACGTTAAAACTATGTGCTAAGATCAATATATGAAAAACTATTAACTCTCCGTAAGTAGTGTGAAGGTGCAAACTTGAGGTAAGAATACAATGCTGTTTGCAAATTCACTTATAAATTCGATTTAATATTATTAAAATACGTTTTACTCTAAGCAACCGATAAAAAGAAAGAAATTTCTATAACTCAAAATGATTATTTTATCACAAAAGTTGTTGTTTTTATTTTCCCGCCATCACACGTATAATCTGTACATTATCGGAGAAATTAATAGAAGCGTTGATGCGTTTTTTGCCTTCATAAAAATTACACTTGCATAGCATTCGAGCAACGTACTTGCCTCAGAAAAACCTGTTAGTTCCACGAAGAGAACAAAACGGAATATTAATATCTATTGTGGACGATCGCTGCTTAAGAAATCACTGCCTTAACATAATTTTGAATTGTATAAAGGATTGTTTCTTTGACTTTCAAAACGCAATAAAATAAATGATAAATAAATTGTATATACATGTCAATCCTGGAGTTATGTAAGCATATTTTTAAAAGTATAAAACAATTTCCTTTCGTTTAGAAGCTACATTCACGCAAATTTAAATTAGATAACTATTACTTCATAGATTTATATGTTACGGAATCTGAGTAAATACAAATCTATAGTACCTAAAGTAAATCAAAATTATGTAGATATGCACTATGCTCTAATGAAAACAAAGATTTTCGCTCGTATGCATTTAAATAAATGTTTTATCCTATCGTATACATAGGCCTCATCTCGTCTGCCCGTGATCACGGTTGCTGCAAAGTAACAGAAACGTCGGGATTATGTAGTGAAAATAATTATAAACTCGTAGTAAATCCGAAAAATATTATTTTTATTAGCTATGCACTAAATTACTTAGTAGTTCTAAGACTTAAGACTAGATTTCATTTAAATGAAACTAATATTTTCGGATTTATTCGCGTTTTTATTTTTGACTACATACTCCCGACGTTTCGTTTACTTTTCAGCAACCGTGATCACGGGCAGACGAGATGTGAGTGTGTCAGTTAGTCTTGTTATTTTATCACGTAGTCAAAAATAAAAACGTGAATAAATCCGAAAATATTAGTTACATTTAAATTAGTACTTGCGAAAATCTCAATTCTCATTAAATTTCATTAGTAGTTTTTGAAGTAACTACTAATTATAGAGTGGTTACTGTCCAAAAGTGATGAAATCCAACTTGGTAGATAAAACACTCACTACAAAGAGCTGTTGCTGATTTGAGAACTATTTTTATGATATTTTCAAGGAAACTATATGACTATCGTCATCGCAAAAATTACGTAGTTCAAGGAAGTGCGGTTTGCCAAAATTATTTTTATATATGACCAGTTAGAGATATCATGATTTGAGATCTTGGTTGCTCGTATCTTAATTGTTCTATTTATAACTCCAGATATAGTATTATATAGAAGTACTTAGTATCCATTTTATATGTGTTCATCAACTATATGGCGACATGTGACGAGTTACAAAAAATTTTAAAGCTTACAATTTGTAAGAATGAAATATTAATTCTTTACTAATAATTTCGTAATAATAACGGTTTAGGGATATTTAATTTTATAAAATAAAACATTCAAATATTTGCAGATTTTTTTTATGAAAAAGGGGGAGAAATAAGTGGAAAAGGGAGGGAAAAGGGGAAGAGGTAGGACAGGATGAGAAAGGGGGAAGGGCAACAGGCTCTCTCACTCATGAGACGAAATGCAGCCCTTAAAGACTATTTAACGTCGATCTTCTGTGAGAGGGTGGTACTTCCCCGGTCGAGCCAGCCAGTATTTCAGCTGCAATAACATCACCACATCTAGGTTCTACCACCTACTAAATGATCTCAAACCCAATCAAAATTAATAATAAAGAGTTATATAACTTATACTACTTATACATAAGGGTGGCATTCTTTCTTAATGTGCCAGGGAAAGAGCTGAGATTTATGAAACATCTTATGTAGCTGTATGAATTTGTACCACCAAGGACAAAAAAACGAAAATAATCAGATAATTTCCATATGCCAGTACTTTTTTATATATATATATATATGTGTATAACGGCTTTTATCCACTGTCAATAAATAATCCCATTGTAACCTTACCTATTTTGGTTTACGATTTCGTTTTTTTTAAATAATTAAAATATATTATTTCCAAAGATTCGATCTAAGATAAAAATCCCTACTAAAAACACGGTTGTAGGATGAAAAACTTTCCTCAAAAATGAGAGTAGGACGAATACGTACAGAGCATACGAATAAGATAGATTACAAACTAAAACTTAATATTCTATTTAAAAAAAACAGTTCAAAAACCTTAAAATGAGATTCCGATCATTAATTTCATTTTAAATTTATAAAAACGACATCGCATGTCGTGATGAAAGGTCGCATGATCAGGGATGCAATTGATTTTATTACAGTTGAAGCAATAACTGAAACAAAATATAATTTATTATGATTAGTCTGGTGATTTGTATTACTCGTATAAAAAACATAGACTAATTTTCTTGTGGCTCTTTCAAAATAAAAAGTAACATTGAACAATTTATCAAAGGTAACTCTATTTTACATTATACATTCGAAATTTTGTTTTCGTTATAGTTAATAAAGAATTCTTCCAACGAAGTATTTCTTAATAACTAATAAATTAATAAACTAGAAAATAGAATATCTATTATCTACCATTTTCGAGTCCAACCAAAGTTTAAATACATAAAAAAGTATTTAATAAACTTCGTTAGCAAAACAAATTGTTTCAATGAATGTAAAAAATGTTCTATTATTTAATATTTCTCATTGTTATGATAGCAACATTAACATGTATAAAGCATGGCGGATCGTCAGCCGGCCGTGACCGCCTTAGGTGTCGCGAACCCAACTGGTTCTACGCCTTACGTAATCTAAACTCTTTATAACAATATTCTTCTAAATACCTGCCATTATATTAAACTTTGATATAACCTATAATATAATTAAAACAAGTCTTATTTTGCCATATTGATGTGATATCTACGTAAATACAAATTAAACACAAGTACCTATCAGGAACGTTTATGTTCAAACGAATGACAATAACAAATATTGTATAAAGTTATTTAACAAACATTTCACATTGTAGGTACGAAAAATATAATTGCAATAAAATTTTACATTTCATATGTACAATAGCAAAAAATTATTATGTACTTTGAATGATTTAAATTCTAAATTTTTTTTATTTTTATTTCTGCAATAATTTGAAAGTGAACAAGTGCAACAATTTCGGCGTGAAGTAGCCATTAAAGGCTACTTCACGCCGATCTTCTATGAGAAGGTGATATTTCTCCGGTCGAGACAGCCCATTTTCGAGCTTCAGTAACATGACCACAGCTAGGCTCTACCACCTATATTATTCTTTATGGCAAAATTTTAATACAGTAGTCTTATAGCGTTTATTTAGATAACCCATTTTTAACATACAACTAATGTCTATGTCGGATGTATACAAACCCAAAATTCTAATATTATAAGTGTGTTTCAGAAATTCATTATTTTTATAAAATGTAATAATAGGCGAACAAAATAATTCACAAAAAATCATTATCTCTTATTAGGCTCTTAGATTTTATCAGTGACAAATGAATGAGACGATATACCTAAAATTTTTAAAATGTATTTCAAGGTTATTTGACACTCAATATTTTGGGTCACTAGTATTATTATTATTATTATATATACCATAGACTTTTACATATATATTACATACATAGAGGCCACTAAGAAAAAATGTTGTATAGCAATTTTAATATTACTTTAGAGTTATATTACAATTTGTCTTTTTGTTGTCACATTGCAACAAATTTTTAATAAAATATTAAATCGTGGCTAAACGTCTCAATACATGACATAATAATTAATTTTTTGTTTAATTAATATTTTTTCTTGTTACAAGAAGAGTTTTAAATTTATTTATTTATATTTTTAACCAAAATAATTAATATGATTTGTAGTGGAACTCTTATGGAAATAATAGTCTGTGAGACAAATGTTGCAACTGTCATAAAGAACAACCTGTCAAGAACTGACATTTCGATGTTGTTTCTGACGTTTGAAATTACAGATTCCTCGATTTTGTTTAGATGATGTTTGCAACTCAATCTCATTTTTAGTTTTACGTATAGAATAATTTAAAAGCGTTTTAACAGCACTATTATAAGGCTCAATAAGTATACTAGTGGATTAGAATAGATCGAGTAATATCAACATTCACTGCTGTTATACTTTATAGGTTCTTTTTAAATGAACGGAGAGAAGAGAAATGCTCGTGGCAGAGGACGCGGTCGTGGTCGCGGGCGAGGTAGAGGCAGAGGACGCGGCAGAGGGAAAAAAGTTCCCAAAGTTATGTCGTCAGATGAAGAAGAATGTTCGGTAGAAGAAACCAGTCAAGAACAGGATGAACCAGCGCCGGAGGAAACTAAGGAAGAACCAGAACAACCGGCTGAACCTGTTAAATGTATTCTAAATTTAATTCTATTATATTCTTATTAGTTTTCTATCTCATTACATGGCTTAGTTTTTATTATTGAAACTATACAAACAACACAATCGTTAATTTTGTTTTACATATTATATCAAACAAAATAGAGCTGTAGATATTAGTCCATCCATTCAATGTCTTATTTGCTTTGTATTCAAAGTCCCTTCTTTTTCAGTGGAAGTGCCTTCCGATATATCTCAATTAGAAGCTCCAGTATTCACAACCCTACAGAGAGGTCCCCCGGAACCGATGTTGCGATTAGACTGGAGTCACCGAGCAACTCTAATCGGAGAAAAAGTTCTAAATCCCATGATATATTGCTGTGATACTTGCTCAAAACCTATATTAATATATGGAAGAATGGTTTGTATCCTACAAATATTATTTTCCTTACTATTAAGTAATTTTTGCTATAAATTCAGTTTTCATTCCATCTTACTTAATACCAAGTTGTATTTTAATAACATCTAAGATCTCATCTGCTTATGATCTCAGTTGCTGTAAAGCAACTGAAACATTGGGAGTATATAGTTTACGATCAAAAACAAAAATGATATTTGCGAAAATCTGATAATGAGATTTAAGATTTTCTTGAGTTTTATACATTTAAATGAAACTTATATCTTTCGGATAAGTCACATAGTATAACCTAAACATATTAGTTTCATTTAAATAAGTTGTATGTTGTTTCAGATACCTTGTAAGCATGTGTTCTGCCTTACCTGTGCGAGAGCCGATAATACACATTGTCCCAGGTGCAGAGAAAAGGTGAAATAAAATTAAAAGATAGATTTAGAAATGACTTCAATTTAGCTTTAATTAGAACTTGATTAATACTAGGAGATGCACCTTGGCATTATTTCTTGCTTTGCTAGTAAAAAACCGCTCAAAACAAGTTGAGTCAAGCAACCTATGTGTTTCAGTTTGAATTGTTTTCTGGACATGAGTTAATTTTAGCTTTATAATTGAAATTAGTGGTTCGATTTCTATTTATTACAAAAACAATCCTATATAAATGAGCTAAAGAAACCTAAACTCAATTGAACATTCTGTTCCCAAGATTATCTAAGTGTATAAATGACCCGAGTCGCCAGTATAGAATTTTGCTCACCCACTTTACTCAATAAAGTAATTGTTAATTCCTTCAGGTATTAAGAGTAGAACAGACCGGACTTGGTACAGTGTTCATGTGCACACATTCAGGCACGAGGTATGGTAACACTGGCTGCAGGAGAACTTATCTGTCTCAGGTATGTTAAACATACTACTAATATTATAATTGCGAAAGTTTGTGTGTGTGTTTGTTACTTCTTCACGCTCAAACGGCTGAACCGATTTTGATAAAATTTTCTATACAAGAAGCTGACGTCCAGGAATAATACATAGGCTACTTTACATCCCGGAAATCCGCGGGTAACACCGCGGGGCGCAGCTAGTACTTATATAAAAGAAGAAATGTGTGATGATGTATGAATGTTTGTTGCCCATTGCAAAAATAACTTAATGTTTGTGTCTAAAACTCAACAACGGAAATAAAATAGGACTAATACTATACATTTCTTGGAATTCTATGAAATTCCTGCTTGATATTACAATAACTTGTATTTGCATGAAGTTGTATCACACATAAATGTTGCAGCCAACTATATCCTTATTCTATGGTCCTATAGTTACTAATAATTTCTTCTATTTGGCATTCTCTCAACAAAAACTATTAATGGCACATTTAATAACTTATCTATTGTTTATGTTACAGCGTGATCTCCAAGCACATATCAATCATCGTCACGTCGGTGACAAGAATGACCCAGAACCTGCACCGCATCCTGCACTTGCTGTGGTTAAGCCACTGCCGGTAAGAAAATCATTCTGATACATAATACTGTACAATAAAACATACTACTAGCAATTAATATATTGCTTCTATCCTATGAATAGTTCATGTATGGATATAATTGTTGATATTTGAGACCTATTTGCCCAAGCCAACAGGACAAACAATCTTAAATTTTGATACAGTTACAAATTAATTAAAATCAGCACTATGAGTGACTTCAATGAGCATAATTGTATTTACAAAACAGGCATTTGCCTATTTCTTTGCCCTATTCAATCAGTTGTCATTCCATACCTTCTATTTAGGCACTCGTCATCTCGTCTGCCCGTGATCACGGTTGCTACATATAAAGTAACCGAAACGTCGGGAGTATGTGATTTATCTATTTGTTCTTTATCAATATTCAGTTCCTAATACATCTGGAGTCAATTAATGTATTTGTGGAATAATTCGTCCCATTATATATATGTCGGATTTATTACAAATTAGGTAGTTGTTTTCAAAAAGATGGACGCCAGCCCCGCTGACTTTACACATATCACTTCTTTTAGGACGTTCCATGATATTATAAAATGAAACTTCAATTCTTCTACATATTCCTGTATTTCTCGAAGGTTCTTCATAATCACAATTTTCAATGATACACACTCACTGAACTCTCAAGTCTGCCGTCGTGCGTCCAGGCGTCATATTTATACCAAGATTTAAATATAGTTCTATTCTCCTTTTAAACAATCTTTGATTTCGTTTTACTTTTAACAATAATCATGAAGACTAATGAGCTTTAATAATAATTGATGACAGGATCAAGTTATTTTCACGTCGCATCCGTTATTAAAGCTGATAGAGCCGATATATATATTATAATGAACTTTCCAGGCGGTGGTGGGAGGCGGCAGTACCGCTGATCCGCGTCACCCTCAACACGCTCATGAACGAAGACCTCGCACCAACCTCATCACTGTACCCATACATGAAGATTCTCACTCATACTATAATTACTACCAGGTGAGAATTATTTATTTATTTTATTTTTTGCTACACACAAACATTACCTATATTATAAGGTTATACAGAAGAAAAAAAATTAAATTTGTAGCAAGGGGGTCCATCTCAGTATAAGCTGTGCTAATGCACAGCACTGATTTTCAGATGGCCCCTGAATATTGGGTAAACAAAACACAAATGCGTGCAAACGAAAATCAATAAATGAAATTATAAGTAAAAAAAAACAAACTAAAAAGCCCTTATCTATGAGAAAAAAAATTACATGTTCTCGGATGAGTTAATTATTATATAAATACTAGCTGACCCCACAAATGTTTTTCCATATAAAAAAAGGGGTTGGTGATAAAAAAGTAAAAATTTAAAGTTGTATGTGTCTTTTAATGAATCATTATAAAAAAATAAACACAAAAAAAAAATCGTCCATAAAAGTAAAAAAAATTAGGGGTGAACAACCTTAATGACTTAGGAGTTAGGAGTATGAAAAATAGATGTTTGCCGATTCTCGGACCTACTCAATATGCTCATAAAATTTCATGAGAATCGGTCAAGCCGTCTCGGAGGAGTACGGGAACGAACATTGTGACACGAGAATTTTATATATAAGATGTATGTATGTATAATATAAGGTCGTGATGGCCAAGTCGTTAAAGGCCCGCACTTCGAGCATGAGGGCGCGGGTTCGATCCTGGCAAGTACCATGTGATTTTTCCGAGTCATATGTACTTTCTAAGAGTATTTAGACACCACTGACAAACGGTGAAGGAAAAAATCGTGAGGACACCTGGACTTATAGTTTCACAGTAACAAGTTTAAAATCACCAACCCGTCTTGAGCAAGCGTGGTGATTAATGCTCAAACCTTCTCCATGTGATGAGGACTTTACTCAGCAGTGGGCTCTGATAGGCTGATGATGATGTACAATATATAATTTTCTATTAATATATATATTCTGTATGCCTATATATATCTTTCTTTTACTTTCCTCTTTTTATTGTACCTATAATAAATTTTTTTTCCTTATTTCCTCTATCATAAGTATTTCTGGTAGAGATCTCTTTTAAGAGACATGTTATCCTTTGTGCATCACATTTCTTATAATAATATTACTATTTCTACTTTTGTTACATAAATAAATTATAATATAGTTAATATTTTTTCCTAGCAGCCGCCACAGCCGGTCCCTCCGCCCGCTATGCCCACGGTGGGCAGTGTGGGCAACGTGGGCGCTCCCGTGAGCAACGTCGGTGTGGGTCTGGGCGGTGTTATGTCCGTGCCACCTCCATACTACGCCGCGCCTTACGCACCACACACCGCGCCGCCGGCTACATATGTTGGAGGTTTACTATGAATTTAACTATATATTTCTAATATACAAAAAATGTTGACAATTACATGGTCATTGGTCATATGTTTCTTTACACCCACAAAAACTTATACAATATCATAATAAATATTGAATAACAATTACCGATGTAAGACTCTCAGTTTGTATAGTCAGTTAGATTTAAGCTGAGCTTTGCATTTGTGTGAGTGAAAGTAAAAGTAGAGTTAGAGAAAAAACTTTTAGAATTCAATTTTATTATTAAATAGATACATAAAAAAAGTGCGTGAGTTATTCTAGATTAAAAATAAAATAAGCAAAACATGTAAAAGGCTAAATAGAAATACTATGGAAAAAAAATTATTAAATATTAATTTTTTTTAAAAAACAATACAGATTTTTCATTGCGTTTTCAACATTTGAAGTTGCTACCAGTACAAAGGGTGAGGTGTGGAAGGTGCGGGGCGGAGTAAAAGCAGAATAAACCGGTTAAAAACTAGAAAAGAACGTGGCATTCAAAAATTTGACATCACACCTACACTATCCGTGTGCACTCACACAAATGCAAAGCTCAGCTTAAATCAAACGCACTATAAAATGAAATTCTATACATAAATTGAAATGTCACATACTTAAAGGGCCACATTTGCTTATTGTCACTAGATCTATCAAAATAGGTATCATTTAAATACTAATAGCGCCATCTCTGATGCTAAATGTGTAACAATTATTATGAACCTACCTCCGCCTAGAATAATAAATCAGTCTGTTCGTGATATTCACTTATTTTATTAGAATTATCTTTATATATATAATTCTTCTGTGAGTGTGTATGTCACTGAACTTCTCTCAAACGACTGGACCGATTTTGATGAAATTTTTTGTGTGTGTTCAAGGGGATCTGTTAATGGTTTAGATTCACAATTTTGTCCGCTGGACAATGTTTTTTTAATTTATTAGTAGTTGTTGATTCTTTCGCACTTTAAAACACGGAGATTTATGGCTTTAATAGGTAAACTCCAAAAATATAGATAAAAAAACGTCACACATATTTCTTGATTATAGGGCGATACGAAGTTCGCCGGGTCTTCTAGTAATTTTAGAATCATATTCATTTCAGGAGCACCGATGACAACAAACGTAGCGGGTGTGTCGCCAATGCCAGCTATGTCTACAGACAATCGTTGGCCGGAAGGATATCCGCCCGTGCAGTGGCCCAACACCCATCATTATTACAGGTAGCCATTGTATGATGGCTACTAGCCACAGTGGTCTAGTGGCCCCACACAAACCACTATCGAAGACAATATATACAGTGACAGCCAATATGACTATGTGTCCGAGAATGAGCCATACTATTTCTAATAACTTAAATACAGGACATTTGAGAATTTCTTACTTGAAGAAACTACTCATATAATTCATATGAAAACAATAATTGTCTCAAAATGAGAATACATATTATGTAATGGATCATTAGTGACTATTTTATGAAAATTTTTTGTGAATTTTTATATGATAAAAATAATTTCAACTATTTGTGAGTATGTTATGTACTGAGACTAACAAGAACAGTGATTATGTGAAATAAAAATTGTGAAGTGAAAATATTGTGTACACGCAAAGTATGTAAATAAAATAAATATACATCCATATGTATGGGACATATATGAATTTAAGTTTATTTCATACACATTATATCTTTACGAACTATGAAATAAGAATACATAAAATAAAAATACTTAATTATTGATAGTGTATTATTTATTAACACTAAATAATAATTATTATTTACAAGACATTCACTCACATAACAATACATAACTGTAATTAACATCGTACATATTAAATACAAAACTTAACCCTTGGCATTTGATAACCACCTATTATAATAATTGAATTATATTAAATAATTTACATGTCAGTGGAAATCTGGTCAAATATTTATGTTTGGAAGATTTGTTAAAATGTATTAACATTTATAAGGGCTCACCAAAATGTTTCTATATATCTTTGGCGATATAATTGCATCCTCAATATTTTCCATACACGAGCACAAGATGTTTGTATAAATTATTTTTTATGAACACCACATCTTAATTTATCAGTCCAAATATAACAAATTGCATTCAAATATTCTATTAAAACTTTACATTTTTGTCAGTTATTCCCAAGACAATTTAATATAAATTTTATAATACTGTTTCTCATGTATTTGAATAACAAGAATCAATGCCTTTGTTCTTTTCAAAAATAAATATATATTATAATTTACAATTTGTCTGTTAAGTACAGTATAAAAATTCAAGAACACAGGAATATTGAAGAAGAAATACATTTAAAAAAATGCAGATACTTTATATTAATAAATCATTTGGAATTGCATTTGAAAGTGTTCATAATTTTCATTTTGAGCTAATTTAGAATCACACTATATACATTATTAAAAATCAATGAAAATATTTGGACAATTCCTCAAAAGTATGGGAACTCAATTACTTGACTCACTCTCACATTCAAACCTAACTTGTATTACATTATAATTGAACATCAGAACATACATATCTTTCAATCTCGACTCCGAGGATAGAAATTACAAAAAAATTACAGTTTTCAGTCCATTACTGATTTTAAACAAATCAGTAAAACAAAATTATAAACAATATAATATAAAACCAGATCTCCTAACTGAAGTTATTTACTTATCATGATGTTTTAGTAGTAGGGGTGTCTGTTGTGATGTCAATAAGGGTGGTTTCCGGAGGAGAAATTGATGGTTGGGGCGGCTCGCTGGGGAACGAAGGGATCACTTGTGGAGTCTGTGATTTCCTGACAGCCTCCATATTGACTTTCATAGATAAATTCTTCTGTCTTGTCTGCTCTGAAGTCTTTGATAGCCTCTCGCTTAGAGCTTTAAGTGCTATTTGCCTGTTGAACATAAAAAATCTTTTATACTTACTTCATATCTTTATACAGGGTGACTGGTGAATTACTATCAATATTTAAGGAGAATACTCGGTACATGATTCTCATTCGAATTATATAAAAAAAATAGGTACTTAATTTTTGACCAAATTTCCGTATAAATAAATAAAGTGTGGACACGTTCCAAGTGTTCCAAGTGTGGACGCGTGCGGCGGCGTGCTGATACAACACCACGCCGCCGCACGCGTGTGTGTGTGTGTATACCTAATCTGTAGGGTGTTCACACGATGCGCAATTAATTACATAACTTTTGGTTAACTTTACTTAGAAGTTTATTAATATTTATGTTATATACATTTTTATTTTGTCATATATGGTCGTCAAATATCACGTCTTCAAGTATCGATAGTAATTCACCAGTCACCCTGTATATATATAAAAATTTCGTGTTACGTGTTTGTCCGCGATGGACTCCTAAACTACTAAACCGATTTTAAATTTGATTTGCATTCCGTGTGCATTTTGATCCAACTTGAAAGATAGGATAGCTATCTCAATTTATAGTCACAATATTATTTTATTGCAAATTATTTGTCTATTAAAGAAAATTATTTGTCATTATTACAATTATTTGTTGACTGAGTTAAGTATTCAATAGATGGGGCTATGTTAAAAATACAAACGTCATATATGAGCGACTATTTAATAATAGCATTCCCACCACGTGTTTCTGAGGCTAAGGTATAAACTAAATTTATTTATTAAAAAAAAGGTATAGAATAAATTTATTTATTAAAAAAACATAACAGATGTTTCTTGATTATAGGGCGATACGAAGTTCGCCGGGTCTTCTAGTATTTAATTAAGAATAACACTGTCACAAGCATGAATTACAGTAATACCCCGCTTAACGCGACCCCGTGATGCGAAGTTTCACTACAAAGCGAATTTCAAAAACTTATTCAGGTTTCGACATATTGCAGAGTATAGACAATAATGATGACCGTGTCTTGACCGTGTGTCAAACGATTGAAAACAGTGTTTGGTGTTATCAACGTATTTTACAAGAACCTAAACAAAACGCTACCCAAAAGACAATACATGTATTTTTTCGTAAAAAATAAGAGTACCTGTGTTTTGTATAAAGTGTTCATAAAATTAAAGTGATTGATTAAAATGATTTTTATATTAAATTTCGGCTGTGTTTAATCATAAACTTCTATATAAGGGAATTTCAGTTAACGCGACTTTTTCGGAACGTGTCCCTCGCGTAAAGCGGGGTAATCCCTACTAATATTATAAATGCGAAAGTAACTCTGTCTGTCTGTTACGCTTTCACGCCTAAACCACTGAAATGATTTTAATGAAACTTGGTACAGACAGAGTTGACCTTGAGAAAGAACACAGCATAGTTTTTATCCCAGACTTTTGAAAGGTTCTCTTGGGAACGCGATATAACCGAACTCCACGCGGGCTAAGCTGCGGGCGGAAAGCTAGTACTGTATATATTATGTTCTAATAGTGTCAAACAAATCAACATACCGTCTCCGTTCCATATCTTGCGGTTCTACTCCTGGCATAGATATTGTTAAACCTCGTGGACTCAAGGCTAGTTGAACTCGTCGTGGCGATGCATTACATACTCCTACACGAACTAGACATCGGTGGATCGGATTCAGTATTCCTCGCACTACGGGTTGCATTACCGTTGGAAAGAAACTGAAATTTATATAAAGAATTTCATTAGAGATCGAGATTCGCGAGTATTTTTCTGATTTACTACGCGTTTATAATTATAAAGTGTCTCATTCTCATCTCGTCTGCCCATGATCATGGTTGTAGTAAAGTAACCGAAATATAGGATGTATGTAGTTAAAACTAATTAAAAATAAATAATACCAAAAATTATTTGTTTTATTTCAAAGATTTCATTAGTTATTATTACAAATTCTGTCTGTCTAGGTTAAAATTGCAAGAAGTCATGTAATAATTCAACATTATTGAAATTATTAAAAATATATATGTTTAACTAAAAAAACTAATATCAAACTGCTAAGACAACCAGCATCTAATAATAAACATGAACATACTTTTAAACATCCTTTTCTTTCCTATTAATATTAAACTAATTCATATATGTATGATAATTTTAAATTTTTACAACATTTTAACAATCTTTAAAATACTTCTGTACTATTCATACCACTTATTTTGTTATAACCAGACTTTATATCACTTATATAAATATAACCAAATTGTTTTTTATATCATGAGAACTGGGATTTCTATGAGTCTTATTCATTGAAATGAAACTAATATTTTTCAGATGGACTACATACGCAACCTTAATTTTTGATAAAAACTTTACAGCAACCGTGATCACGGGCAGATGATATGTAGTTTTTATCAAAAATAAGATGTGTAGTACATCCGAAAAATATTAGTTTAATTTGTTTTTTATATCTTTGTACATACTTATCGAAGCTAAAGTTGTCGGCCATATCTCCCCGAGTGCCGCTGCTGTGACGTTGCCAAAATCTAAGATAAATCCATGACAATAAGGTGCCACTTCCCCACATACAAGGATATGTACCCTCTAGAGCACCTACGGCCCATAGAATTATTGCCGCTATAAGAATCAATAGCGGCAGTGATCTATTTGTTAATTTACCTGAAATTATAAGTACATACATTTTAACAATATATAAATTTACTTTCAATGTGATATTTAAAGTATGTAATGATAGTGTAGTATAGCTTCAATGTTAATATATTACTAAATATAATTTCATTGTACTTTAAGAATTATAACAAAATATGTATTTGGTGGATACATCAATTAATAAATTAGAGCCAAATATGATTATTCCATCACAATAACCTTTTCAATATAATTACTTCTAGTCAAAAATCTTAAGAACTTAATATAATGTATAACATGACTTGTCAATAAAATAAAACCCAACTATTATCATTTACTGATAATTTCCTTGATAAAGAAAATGTCAAACCTATTAACTTATATAAAATCTACGTTAATCACCTATATTCGTGAACATATAATTATAATGACACAAAATGACATAAGTGGACTCAGAATTCGACAAATCAATTTTTTGATACGTACCCAATGGTGTTTTAATAAGGAGATGATCTGGCATAATCTGTTTCACGGCCACACTCACACCCGCCAAATAACCGGCGAGCCCGTGAACATGAATATCGAATAGAAGCGATGTATCTTGAGTCCAAGCAAATATCACAAGATAATAGAATGTCGTTAAGAATGCAACGCCTGTGTTCGTGAAAATAAAGAACTTCATCATCTCCATCTGACCCCATAATGGCTCTATTAATTTCCCACACAATCCAACAGTCACTATGTCAATGATCACCTCCCACAAATGTATTTCAAGAAACCAGAACGTGAAAGTGGACCACAATTGAAATGAAGGTGGCAATAAATATCCTGGCGTAACACTAAGAACGTCCACAACGTCATCGGAATACGATAGAATATAACCAATTATAACAACTACACAAATAAACTTTACGGAAGGCGATGTGTTTCCTAATAACGCTGAAAATTGTTGTCGTAAATATGGTACATTACGACTAAACACTCTGAGAGCAGCCATTTTTATGACGGATGTCACCGTTAAATACAATGTCAGTGTCATTTCGTGATCTATGACTTTTGGTATAATCAAAACTCTATTGGTTAGTGGTTACAACTGATTAAGAAACCAGATTGTGAGCTTTGCACTGACTCAATATAATGTTCTTATAAACACTAAGGATCTTAAGATATCTTGCCCAAAGATTAAGGATGACTTCGAAATAATTATTTTTGGATAAGAATTTAATTGAATAGCCCGCATTTTTTTGCAATAACTCTTTTTTAACTCAATATTATACACGATACATGACTTTTTGATTTCGTTTAAAAGAGAAGTCACATATATAGCCACTATTTTATATCTATTTTGAATACACAGTATCTCCTTCTCTTCACACCATACCTAAAGTGATATGGACTAACACACTTCATTATATCATTTATATGAAAAGAATTGCTTTTTATTCCTAGTCATTACTATTGTATACAGGGTGACTGGTGAATTAATATCGATACTCGAGGACGTGATATTTCACGATCATATATGACAAAATAAAAATTAATATATCATAAATATTAATAAACTTCTAAGTAAAGTTAACCAAAAGTTGTGTAATTAATTACGCATCGTGTGATCACCCTACATATTAGGTATACACACACACACACACACATACGCATTTGGCGGCGTGGTGTTGTATCAGCACGCCGCCGCACGCGTCCACACTTGGAACACTTGGAACGTGTCAACACTTTATTTATTTATACGGAAATTTGGTCAAAAATTAAGTACCTATTTTTTACATAATTCGAATGAGAATCATGTACCGAGTATTCTCCTTTAATATTGATAGTAATTCACCAGTCACCCTGTATATAAGCAAAATCTTTACAAACTTTATGTAGGACGGGCCTCAGGAAAGAAATAAAGAAGGGGATAGCTTTACAGAACTTTCCATAAATTTTAATATGGAATTGTAATAATGAAAACGACGGCGACTATTTTTTTTTTTATCAGAGCAGAGCAGGCAAACGAGCTGACAGTCTACTTGATAGAAGGTAGTCACCATCGCCCGTGGAATTTCTAAGGGATGTTGACAACCTTAAAAGTGAGAAAAGATTGGGAAAAAGCAAGGGCAATTTCTCGCTCATAGGACGAAACGCAGCAATTAAAGGCTACTTCACTCCATTCTTCTTTGAGAGGGTGGTACTTCCCGGTCAAGGCATCCCCTGTTCGAGCTGTAGTAACTGACCATAACTAGGTTCTACTACCTGTAGATGTAAAAAAATATTTATTTAAAATTTTGCTGCTTGTCATACCCTAAGTGGAACATTTGACAAAAATGACAATCATTTTATCGAGATAAACTGATCGTTTAATACATTAAGAATGCTTATAAATGTGTGAGATAAGAGGGTCATGCCTCATTTCTATTACAGCATTAAAAGTCGCTTTACCGAGATTTAAGCAAATACTAGTGAGTTATAGTGTACATTAGTCCTAATTTGAAGTGTGATCTGTCAATAAAAGTTCAAACTTCAAATTTCAAAGCAAAAGTCATAATCACTAAATATGAAGTTCGCTAATCGGTATTCATTGTAGCTATACATTTATTTGGATTGAATGTTGTGTTGAAACATATTTTTAATTATAAAATATTAATTATTTTTAAAAATTAATGATATTAAGTTTAAATGATTATTCAAAGACTTATTGGAAGCGCTCTGGTGGTAACGAAAGTCTTAAATACATTTTTATGCCGATATTTACTTTTGACCTTTATAGAATACAAATATTCATATTTTTTTCCAGTTACGTATAGCAAATTTGTTGGGTACGGGCGTTATGGCTTGTAATAATGCTACCAAATGTGGCAATATTAATTATTTGTCCCAAGAAAATGCTGCGGCACTTGACCAGGATTTATTTACGGAATATAAATTTAGTGTTGATCAATTGATGGAACTTGCTGGGTTGAGTGTAGCTACTGCTGTCGCGAAAGTATATCCATCATCAACGTAAGATGCTGATAAACAAATTAGATAAAAATTACCTTAAAAAACAATTAAGCTAATTTGATTTCATTGTCAAACTATTAATATTTAATTATTTCGTCATTTATCCAGTTTCTATGCACATGTTTTGTTATTTAGGTATAAATCAGCTCTTGTTGTATGTGGTCCTGGGAACAATGGTGGTGATGGCTTAGTGGCAGCACGACACATGACTTTATTTGGATACAAAGTAGCTATATACTACCCTAAGCGCACACCAAAGCCCTTGTATGAAAATCTTCTGTTACAATGTGAAAAGTTTGGTGTAACTGTCTTGCAATCATTACCACCTACGGATGAAGTGAAGAATGAATACAAAGTGCTTGTTGATGCACTATTTGGTTTTAGTTTTAAGCCTCCAGTTAGAGAAACATTGAAACCAGCTCTTGATGTTTTGATTGACTCAGGGTTGCCAGTTTGCAGGTTATTTAAATACTTTTTTAGTCTAATTACATAATAAAATATATGTATTCTCTACATTCTTGTTATTTTTACAGTGTGGACATCCCCAGCGGTTGGGATGTTGAAAAAGGACCACAGTCTGAAAATTCTCTTCAGCCGAACCTTCTGATCTCATTATCAGCTCCAAAACTCTGTGCTAAACCTGAAATATTAAGTAAACTTAATTGCAAACATTATTTGGGTGGTCGGTTCTTGCCTCCCGGTATCATAGAGAAATACAATTTAACATTACCACCATATCCGGGCCAAGATCAAGTTGTTGAAATATAATATCTATTCTTCTAAGTTTCTAAAATAAATGTTTTTTTTGTTACTATGTGTTTTAATAAAGATCTTTATAAGTGTTAATTTAATTTTATGTCACCATGTTTACACTTTCAAAACTATCACATATTCTTACATGGTCTTTAAACTTTTTCTATACACTCGAGTCATGTTAATGTGAAGACAATATGTATTATATAATAACTTTAAAATCTGATGACCTTGATGAAATTTTACCAACCAGCCGATTAATTTATGGTAAGAGGTATAGAGGTTAATAAGTCAGTGGTGGCCTAGTGGTTAAAAGGCCCGACTCTCATGATGCACGAGGGCGCGGGTTCGATCCTGACCCTGGCAAGTACCAATGTGATTTTTCTGAGTCATATGTACTTTCTAAGAGTATTTAGACATCACTGATTAATGCATTTCCATAGAGGGTTGAAGTCAGGCTGGCGGCCGGTCGTAAAAACAATTAGCCAAAAGTCAAAACTATTCACAACATGTAAGGCAGACCCTGGTAAAGCTGGGAAATTGCCAGGTAGAAGAAGAAGAGGTATAGAGGTTCCAAGACCATTTTACTTTGAAAAAAGAGCTCAAAATCGAAATGGAGCCATTCGGTAACTTTTTACATCTTATTAAGAACGTTCAATATATTTTTATGAAATATTTTTTTAATACTTGAGGTTTGAAAATAATATTTGTAATATTAAATTTTTCTGAACGAAATCTGGGAATGGCGTTATGAATTTCGCGGTACTATTGACAGCAAATTTTCCCGCTTAACCGTCTTTCTTGTCATATTCTTAGACGTCGGCGGCATTATTGTTTGTGAGAACAACAGTTTTCTACGTATTATTCTTAATTAGGACCAATTTTACTATAAAGTAAGTAATTTAACTGTATTTTTAACTTCTAGACCAAAATTGCGTCACTTCATTCCTCGTACTTGTTTAATTAGACTTTTTAACTTTGGCCGAATTTCAAGTGGCTGTTTGTTATGAAAGTTCTTATATATCCACTAGATTTCTTTTATCTAGGTTCTTGAAACTATGTAATATGATATATGTTTATTGTTTATGATGACTCATTTACTTTATATTGTTTTAGATAATTAACCATGTTCGAAGCACGTCTTCTCCGTAGTTCTATCCTGAAGAAAGTACTGGAAGCGATCAAGGATCTCCTTACTCAGGCAACTTTTGACTGCGATGATAATGGTATACAGTTGCAGGTTGGTTAATTTTCCGTATTGTGAAATATATGAAAATAACTTTAACATTTTCGTAAATACCAATATATTTCTAATTTAGGCAATGGACAATTCACATGTGTCTCTTGTATCACTCACCCTGAGAGCCGATGGATTTGATAAGTACAGATGTGATAGGAACATCTCCATGGGAATGAATCTCGGCAGGTACAGAAATTATTCATATTAATTATACTACAATATCTCAACTATAATCACTTGATTACCTTAAATAGTACTATCTTACACTCCATAGGGTTATTTCATTATATGTTAAATAATATTTCTTATTGGTAAATTTCCAGTATGTCCAAAATCCTTAAGTGCGCTGGAGACAAGGACACTGTAACAATGAAAGCCCAAGATAATGCCGACACAGTCACCTTTGTATTTGAGAGCCCTAACCAGGAAAAGGTTTCCGATTATGAAATGAAGCTCATGAACTTGGATTTAGAACATTTGGGTAAATTACTTTAAAACATTAATTCAGAAAAATATTACATTTATAAGTCAATAATTGATAAACAAATAAAAAATATATTTTTTCAATACTCAGGCATCCCAGAGACAGAATACAGTTGCACAATTCGAATGCCGAGCGGTGAATTTGCAAGGATTTGTCGTGATCTGTCACAGTTTGGTGAATCTATGGTGATCTCTTGTACTAAGGAAGGTAAGAAGTATTTAGATCGAAAACTTAATTACCTAATTTGTTATTAAGACTAACTGTTATTCACATAATTGTATTAAAGATTTACATGAGTACTTTTCTATCAACTTATCATAAAACTAAGTTTCTTCTATAATAATAGACATTATTCATTATTTTGTTACCACATAAGCTATTTCAGTCCCCTTGCAGCCACGATCACGAGTCAACAAGATGATAGTTACACTGTTACTTTGTTTCAGGAGTAAAGTTTTCAGCGAGTGGTGACATCGGCTCGGCAAATATAAAACTAGCTCAAACAGCTTCTATTGATAAAGAGGAGGAAGCCGTTGTTATTGAAATGGATGAACCGGTCACACTCACATTTGCCTGTCAGTATCTTAACTACTTCACTAAAGCCACTTCATTGAGTCCTCAGGTAAATGTACCTTATTATTTCCAATATTTAATAATAAATATATACCTAGCTAATGTTAAGACATTAGCAAGTATAATTATTATGTATAGACTTATATAATGCATATAAAAGTTTATTTATTGACACAACTACAATCTACAATCATATAATTTATGCTTGTTCATTAGTTTAAAAGTATGTATGTATATATTCAATATTGTTGGGGATAGTGCAAATCCATGTTATTGTCCATTGGATAATTCTGCGTATCTACATTGGAAGCAGATTATTAGAAGTTTAAGCTGAAATGTTTTCTATATTAACGACTTTTATGGTAATTTTTTCACAATCAGTAATTATTTTATGTTTAATTTATTTCTAAGTGTGAAAAAATACATCCGTGGATACATATCCTTAATCATTGTTGTATTCATCAGGTCCAGTTATCAATGTCAGCGGACGTGCCCCTTGTAGTAGAGTATCGTATCCCAGACATCGGCCACATACGCTACTACCTAGCACCCAAGATAGAAGAAGACGACAGCTAAGTTATATATATCATGTTACGAGGTATTACAACTATATTGTGAATGGTCCAACTATTTTGCTATAATTATATTGGTCTTTTTTGTATGTATTTTTTTTATTTTACCTAAAATACCTTGGCATTATAAGTTATACACATGTGGCAATTAGAAAAAAATTGTTGTATATATTTTAAATAGAGTAAAATAGTGTGAGAATTCAGATCTATGTTCAATTGAAAGTATTAAAATGTTCAAAATGTCTTTATTTTTATAAAACTATATGATACAATAGTGTTCATGTTTCACATGTATTAAAAATAAAAATCACTCAATAAACTGAAACGGAATGACCTCAACTACATAACTAGCGGAGTAGCTGTTAGTGCGTTCGTTGAATAAAAAAATATTCTCAACTAACCAAGAGAAATACTACAAGCTTAATTAAATATAAATTAAAAACTTATTCACCTACATTACTGTGACTAGAGATTGTCACTGGTACCTTATAAAAGAAATCTTAAAACTATTTATATTAAAGGAGGGTGGGCAAGAACTAACGGCACCCGCTTACACTGTCTTAATACAACACGTATATAATCAGAGCAACGCTACACAATCGTTTAAATCAACCGCCATCAATGTATACAAACTATTTGAATGACAGATTAGTCAATATATTAAGTATATCTATATAAATATTAATACCAAGTATGATTTCCAAAAGAAATTATTAACCGACTTCAAATAGAAATGCATCGTCTATATAAAGACGTTACTTATACTATACTATATCAGTGTGCTTCAAGACGGTAACCTGAGTCAAATCGGAATAGTTTGACAGAACTTATGACATACATATAATAAAACACAGAAGCTATATAATTGAAATCGGTTAAACTGGAGATACTATTAAGTTAGTCAAACATATATATAACGGATTATTAGAGCGATTGATCATCACACGACTAGCGGGTGCTACTTCCACTTCTTGGCTGAGAACAGTACGGCGCGCTGCTTGAGGAACAGAGAGTAGTTCTGTTTGCGGAGCGCTGAAGGCGGCGTGCTGTCCGGGGCGGGGGCGGAGCCCGAGCCGGCGGAGCTCGGAGCGCCGGAGCCCCCTCGCTTACCGCCGCGCCGCTTGCCCTCTGACATTTGTATAGTGTACACGCGCTTACCACGACCTCTGCCTCTTCCTGATCAAAAACATTAAAGACATGGTCAATACACTATAAACATATAGTCATAAAATCAATCAAAAATGTGATGGATTGTTCTTTGTAGAAGATAGATAAAATAAAATATTTCCGTCTACCCTCATATATAGAAAAGTATTACTGTAACCTACATCGCTTTTAATCCAAATTAAACAAAAGCTATGTATGTATATATAAATAGGCTACCCAAAGTAACTTTCACGCGAATTACAGCTAGTATAATATTATGTTTTTTATCCTGCCTAGACCGAAATGTTTGGATATAGAATCCGAGCATTCGAGATGAAAGTCTTACTTTCTATCTCATGTCACATGATGTACTATGATGAAAATGAAAATGAAAAAATGTTTATTAACAAAAAACAAAACATAATACAAAGAAATGTCCGGTGGTGCCCACACTAGGTATTCCTGTGTCGTGGGTACCAATTGATAGATTTACACTACATGTTTAATGTTGTCGCTCGGCTTAGAATATAAATTACATAACTATTTAAGATACATTGCATCATTTAAGTTACAAGTGTTCTTATGTTTGTGAAAAGGTGCTATACTAGGTGCAAGAAAAGTTCTTCGGTGGTATTGTAGGTGAATGAGGAGAGCCAAGAAATAATTTTTCTTTTGTCTTTTTTGTTCCGTCAGTAGTATGTATATGTATACTATGTTTATATCCCCACCTGCCCCCCCTCCTCTTCCTCAAGTCTCCTTCTTCAGGTCGGCGGGCGGCGCGGGCTCGTCGTCGTCGAGGCGCGCGGGGCTGATGACCTGGTCGTGCAGCGTGCGCAGGTGACGCAGCAGGTTAGACTTCACGTTGAAGCCCTTGTTGCACAGCCCGCACACGAACGGACGCTCGCCTTGACAAATAAAACAAATATTAACTTATACTCTATACATACATCATATTGACAGCTGTTATTGTCAATTATAGCATAAAATAGACATATAATAATTATACTTTTATTTTATCTCTTCTTAGACTCGGAAGAGTAACAAACTTTCATAGATACAGTTAATATGAATTAATTCTCTAAATATCTGACTCGTTCATAGCGTTGCCAGGCGTCCGGATAAAGACGGACATAGTTAGGCTTTTTGATTGCATTGCATTACATTTCGCAAAAAAGCGAATAGAATTTAATTTAAAACATTTGACATGTAAGGATTTTAACAACTACATTTTGAAAGAAACTGAGTTCTTAAAGCAGGCTTCGGAAAATCAAAAATATTAATAATTATTTTTATTGTGTAACTCAAAGAGAAAATGTTTATTTTTTTTAATATTTTAATTTAAAGAGAAGTTATTGATTTTTTTTTTAGTTAAAAAGTATAATTTGTGCCTTTCTTATTATTTAAGAAAAATTCAAATATGTGGGTAAATGTTTAAGTATCTAGAATTGATTGTTGTCTGATTAATAATAAAGTACCTACCCAATTTCTAAGACTGATTTGGCATTCGATTTCATTTATTATTTCACTAGAAATTTATGATAATAATCAAAAAGACTTTATTTTACATACAAAAAAATTGTTGTACCATTAATACTAAGACAAAATGCTCAATAATATAGGGTGTCCGGCTTTTTTTACCAAATGTCCGGCCAAACTGGCTGGTCTGTCCGGCTATTAGGTTTGGCGACCTGGCCACGCTACTCCTAGACCTTTATATGTATACTTTAATACATTCAATTAAAAAAATACACTTTATACTTAAATATAATATATTATTATATGTATAATGTTACATACCCGTGTGCGTTCTCATGTGTATGAGCATGGAGGCGTGCGATGGGAAGGTCTTCTTACATTGCGAGCAAATCTTGTTTTGCTCACCGTCTGTGAAACGATTGTGACGTTTTGGTGGTGCTCTGTTGTTTGATATGGCCAATTCTGGACAACCGACATCGAAGGGACATTTGTTACATTAAAAACCTCACTACCTCCTGTACGAACCGACTACGAGGCTTCGGACAAGGGTTGCAACTTGTACATAACTGAAGTGATTATCATGACGGCAGGGACCGAACTGAACTTATACTGAGCTGTATATACTGCGTATACTGAGGTATATATACGTGAGAGTAGAGTACTACACAAGGATGATGAGTTGTCGAGAATCAGCCACACATAACAATCAGCGTTCAGCTATGTCACAGGAATAACTTCATTAGTAGGCGGCCTACAGATATTTGACATGAATCAACACATTGACAAAACACAACACAGAACATTGCTATACACTTTAATCACAATGCTTGCACATTATCTCAATAATTAACATTACAAAATAAACATATGTATATAAAATCAAAATATTTTCAGACAACCAAGTATAGTTAGTTCACTGTCAAATAAATGTAATGCCCATAAATTATTTGTTATAGCAAATAAATAAGAACATGTTACAAACACATTAAAAATAAAAACATCACAAAAAATACTGCGTGGAGTCTCTCCGAAGAAGTGAAACTTCGTAATGTTGGAATGAAAACAGTAAGAGGTTGAAATTGATTTTTCAGGAATTTCCAGTATTTCTTTAAGAGAAACTTTGTTAACATTACTTATAAGTTAGTTAGTTGTAAGTTTAAACTTCAACACAAAATCTTTCACATCCCCTTCAAGGTAGCGTTAAAAATTTAACGCAAGTTGCATAAGAAGTTTCACTTCAATAACAACGTCTGAAGTCCACTGCTTAACACAGGCATACAGTCTTCGTAGAATTTGATTCTTAGCAGATTGTCACAACTATAATATATATACAGGGTGACTGGTGAATTACTATCAATATTTAAGGAGCATACTCGGTACATGATTCTCATTCGAATTATGTAAAAAAAATAGGTACTTAATTTTTGACCAAATTTCCGTATAAATAAATAAAGTGTGTACACGTTCCAAGTGTGGACGCGTGCGGCGGCGTGCTGATACAACACTACGCCGCCGCCGCGTCTGTGTGAGTGTGTGTGTATCATATATGACAAAATAAAAATTAATATAACATAAATATTAATAAACTTCTAAGTAAAGTTAACCAAAAGTTATGTAATTTATTACGCATCGTGTGAACGTGCCTACAGATTAGGTATATACACACTCACACATACGAGTGCGGCGGCGTGGTGTTGTATCAGCACGCCGCCGCACGCGTCCACACTTGGAACGTGTCAACACTTTATTTATTTATACGGAAATTTTGTCAAAAATTAAGTGCCTATTTTTTTTACATAATTCGAATGAGAATCATGTACCGAGTATTCTCCTTAAATATTGATAGTAATTCACCAGTCACCCTGTATATATATATACATATAGTTCTCACCTGTCTCCGTGTGTGTCCCCTGCACGTGTCGCACCCACTCCGCGGGGTTGGGGAAGTGTTTCTGGCACAGATCACATCGTAGTAACGCCATCGTCTCCTCCGTATCGTCACTCTGTCATTACACATACATTACTAACTTTCAATAAACATTTGTCGTTAACATTTTGATTGGATGTATGAAATGAAGAGAAAAGTGTATTACGCCCTGAACTTCTAGAGAAGTATTCTGTCTTTTTATCTGTGTATCTGTGTAAATGCGTATATGCGTATGTATGTATGAATGCGCGTGTATGTGGGGTGTACACATACAAGTATAAACTTGGACCGTATATTTATGTATGTACACGCTGGTGTGCATGTAGCGTTGCCAGGTCGGCAAACCTAATAGCCGGACAGACCAGCCAGTTTGGCCGGACATTTGGTTAAAAAAGCCGGACACTATATTATTGAGGATTTTGTCTGAGTATTAATAAGTACAACAATTATTTTTATATAAAATGAAGTCTTTTTGATATTTATCATAAATCTTGTTCATTTCTAGTGAAATAATAAATAAAATCAAATGCCAAATCAGTCATAGATAGTTTTCTTAAATAATGAGAACGGTACAAATTATATTTTTTTAACTAAAAAAAAATCAATAACTCCTTTTTAAGTTAAAATATAAAACAAAAAACTTTTTCTCTTTGAGTTACAGAATAAAATTAAATTCTAGATAATTAAACATTTATGAACAAATAAGACATTTTTAACTAAAAAAAATTGATAACTTCTTTTTAAGTTAAAATATAAAACGACAAAAAAAACATTTTCCCTTTGAGTTACACAATAAAAATAATAATTAATATTTTTGGTTTTTCAAAACCTGCTTTAAGAGTTCAGTTTCTTTCAAAATGTAGTTGTTAAAATCCTTACGTGTCAAATGTTTTAAATTAAAGTCTAAAACCAACATTTTTTCAACAGTATCAACATGTAATCTGTTGCGTTCTTTCGTCCATTGCTGACCTATCAAGGAAAAAATTCTTTCAACGTTTGCGTTATGTCCTGGGATAGCAAAGTAATACTGACAAATAGTTAGGAATAGTGAAAAGCAATCTTGACTTATCATCGATTTAAAATAGGCTACCCGTTTCTTATGTGCTTATCTAATAGCTTCTTGAAATCAACGGTTTCTTTGTTAGTATTCAGAAAACTTTTAAGATTTTGCAGTTGGTCAAAATATTTGCTATCGTCGATTTTAACATTGTTTTACGATAGGATACTTATAGTATCGGAAACTTAATTCCATTCAGGAACATCTTTTAAAGTCATCCATGTAATAACCGAAATTTAAAAAGCCTAACAAAAGCCGGACAAGCCGGACACCGTTTATTTTGGCCGGACATGCAATCAAAAAGCCTAACTATGTCCGGCTTTATCCGGACGCCTGGCAACGCTATGTGTATGTGTACATGAGTGTACTATATGTGTACACGAGTGTACTGACCGCGGAGCGCCTCCTCTTCCTGGGATGATGATGGTCTGAGTGCGCGTGTCTCTGTACGTGTCTAACCCACGCCGCGGGTACAGTGAACACCTCCGCACACAACTCACACGCCAAAGGACTGTACAACTGTATCAAATATAAATGTATAATAACAATATATGTATACAAAATACACTTTATTGATATGATAGCATGTGAGTTTTGAACAAAATAGTAAATTTTCTACTTTTAGATGATCAAGACTAAATAATAATTTTATTTAAGATGACTCTTTGACTTCAAGTGAATAATAATTCTTGAAAGCTTGCTTGTTGTTTGTTATTGACATAAGAAATATGTCAAATATTATTATATATTAAAAAATTATACTGAATAAGTAATTAGTACAATTACTACTTCTCCTTCCTGGCAATTTCCCAGCTTTAGCCAAGGTCTGGCCATTACAATACTATAAAGTACAATTACTACTAACTATATATAATTATATGATATCATAATGATATGATGATGATTTACCAAGCTTTCCTCTTCAATATCCATATCATCAATAGGTTCTGACTTGACACTCATCTCGGCTTGAAACATCTCAGCGATGGACCTCTCCTCTTCCTCAATACTACTGGCATCCCACTCCGGTTCATCTTTAATCTGTATCTCTGTGCTTGTGTCCGGTACACTTTGAGTTGATTTCTCTGGAAAATAATATATTTTTAATAGGTATCAAAAAATTAATATTTTGTTCATAGAAATATGAAGAATTTTAAAAATGGCAATAGAAGATGCAATATTTGAATCTGAGAATTTAAAAAGTTCTCAACATGAGAATAAATTATGTAAGGTAAAATGGGAATTAATATCTTATATATTTTATAATTTTTACATTAAATAGGTGGTAAGCTTATGATTGCATACATGTTAATATACATAAAAATTATAAAATATTAATGGTAAACATTAAAAATAGATTTTATTTTATTAAACATAGTGTTATGAGAATACAAACTAGCTCAATACACTATCTTAATAAAATAAATCATACCTACTTGAACTAACGGATGCATTATCATGATCATCTTGTTCTTTTTCTTCTTCTGCTTGATCAGTCTTCTGTTTCTTGCCGTACTTCCTCTCAGCAGCATGTCGACGCAGTATTCTTGGTGGTGGGGTTTCATCGGGAGAATCCTCGGCATTGGAAAGTATAGGTACTGTATTTGCCTCGGTAGTCGGAGCAGGGGCCACAAGTATAGTCTGACCCTTCGGAGCACCAGGTCTCAATGCTGCCGCTTGAGTACTGCCTTCTGAAGTCTTTATAAACACCAGCTTCGGTGGACCAATGAACATAGGTCTGAAAAGATGTGATTATTACTATTTTTATATCAATTTAAGGATACAAATATATTTAATATATGATATTTGAGATAAAGTAATTGAAATTTAAAGAATACGTTTACATAATGTACCTTGTGACACCTTGTGGCTGTACAGGGTTGAATGTTTTAAGGAGTTTGTCATCTTTTTTCACCGTTAGCTTTGGTTCATCGGGTTTCTTGGTTTGCTTGTTGATGTTGGCTGGTTGAGTTGTTGTTTTCTCAGCGGGAGTTGAATCACCGCCAGCCTCATCATTCTGACGCCACAGACCTCTGATTTTAAGCACTTCGCCTGCTTTAAGCACTGTATCTAGAACCTCATTTGATACAGTGGTCTCACCTAAACAATATTATTAAATTATTTAACATATTTCATCACAAATATTCATAACATTACAACATATATCGCAAAAATAGCGCACCTTTATACATATACTCCACCAGAATCTTCAAAGCCTTTGTTGAGATCTCCGAGGGGAGTACTACGTACAGCATCCCGCCCATTCGAGTCACAGATCTCTGTCCCTCGAACAATGTACTCAGATAAACACTGCAGGAGCTCAATATGAACTTGTGCGCCGGTATCTGCGACCCATCCATAGTACATAGTACTACATCCGTGAAACGCTCGGATCGTAGCAAAGACGCCACCGAGCCGTTCAGATGTGAACTGTGAGAATGCCATTTCAACTGGTACGTGTCCGTTGAAGTCATGATCTCATTCTTTCATCGTAAGTCTGTTTACAAACAATAACAATTAAAAAACATTTCAACTTTCAACTCTGAAGACAATGACAATAGCCGCATATAATCTCATTTAAATTTCGCACCTAATATCACATATTTTTTTTAATATAATTGACATTTGGAATTATAATACTCTTTGCATAATATAAAATTAAAATAATAATATACGAATTAAATTCCTAATTAGAAAAGAAAATAACAACGATTAAAATTTTAACAGCGAGCGGCTGTTTAGGAACAATATATACATACATAAATAAATATATTCTAATAAAAATCAAATAATAGTTTCTTAAATATCTAACACAACGGACCATCGAACACCAACTACGATTCGACGAATACATACGTATCCTTTATAAATATTAAATATAAAAAGTACCTTTTGGAACTATCGACGTATAAATTTCGAATGAGCCGCTATCACGAGATCGCTTTCAACTTCTTAATATTACTTAACAAAATCACACAAGTAATAAGTTTGAGGACGCGCACCCACCGCGTGCGACCCTCTGGCTGGGTGTGCGGCGGCTGCGGCTCCGAAAATCGATGAAATTCGTATTGATTTAACGCGGAAAGCGGGGTTGCGCGTTTATCTCATCGATCCGTGTCCGGGAGCGTCTAGCGGCGCGTCGCCCGGAGCCCGCGCCTGCGCCCCACGCCCACCTCAGCTCTACCCTATACCACTGTTCATGCGCAAATTCTGTATAGCCATAGCTATTATTACTTCTCCTTCCCCATATTTTTCGATGATTATGCTTGCATTCTATTTTTATCCCTAAACTTATGGCAGTTTTAACAAATTCAAATGTCGAAAGTGTTTTTTGTTTGTAATTAATGTTTACAAAATATTTTTTTTATTATCTGTTATATAAATACAATCATACTTTAAATATTTTATTAATATAATTAAACATTAAAAAGTATTAAGAAACGTAAATCCAGCCAGTGTCACTATAAAGGTTATATAAAAAACTTTTTTTTATGTAAACTATATTTTTATTTTCCGTAATCAGAATGATTGATATTGGATTTTATGAATAGTTGAAGTTATTATGTTAAAAATATAACTTTTTTATCACTATAGCTACCTTCTCCATACGATTACTAGAAATTATATTTGTACGTGGTGAATCAATTCTTATAATGTACACAAACATTCATACATAAAAATATGTTCACCTATTAAAATTCTGCACATTCTGTACATTATTTTTCACATTCTGCACATTATTTTTCACGAGAATCCTTTTCCGCGTTGCGTATCGTAGCGTTGAAAATTGACATATTGGCAAAACAAAACAATTTGAAAGGTAACGTTTAACCGAATTATAAAATAATTTTAATTAATAAACGTTTTTAACATAGTAAATAATATAAACGATACATACTAAATCTAATATGATATGAACATAAAGGAAAATATACTACGTAGTTTAAACCTCGAATATTTTTTTGCAAAAAACAGGATAAATTTGTTTATTATATATTCACAATATCTTTATTAAAGTAATAATAAATATGTACTCACGTTTTAAATGTCATCCATGTAGTATAACGTATTGAACAACAATAAACAGTGTGTTTGTGTGACGGGCGAGCGGCGAGGGTCACGCGAATCGCGTGCGCAGACGATATTGATTTTACCGGCGAGTTGCGACCCCACACATTTTTAACCCCCCTTCGATGTTCTATGCCTAGATATTAGTATCGATTAATGGCACAAAGCATTAAGTTTTTTATGATTTTTATTTCATATTAGCTTGTAAATCTTGTAATATAGCGGACATGTAAGTTGTATATGATTCGTCATTTGATGTCATATTTCAGCTTAAAAATATTTAGGATGAATATCTTGTTAGTCAAATGATGTATTAATTAATTAATTAATTATTAATATACATATTTGCATATCGAAATATTTTTTAAATAAGGATATTATTTATATACTAATATTAGAGTTAAAATTAGAGTCATAATTATTCATTTTAACTTGTGATAACAAACATTGCTATCAAATTAAAAAGACTACATACATCCAGTATCTCCGAATTTTATTAACCAATTATTATTTGTTACGTATTATTTTAAATTATATATTTTTTGTGTTTAAATAACTTGAAACGATAAAATTATTATAAGTTTTGAATAAAAAGTATATAAATACATATATATTATTTCCTAATTTAAAAATACAAAGGATTTTTTTAATAAGCAGATTAATAATCTATTTGTCTGTTATTAGTAGTCTATAAATATTTTTGGCGCTTTAATTTATATGTGCCAGTATCAAAATAGAGATACAAGTAAAAAAGAAATGTAGGAGGACTATATTACACCGATAATAATCAATGCTTGCATCATCATTAGTTTCGGTTCAATGAACCTTATGGGTGAATTGCCATTATAAAATATATTATTTTCAAAATATCGTAAAATAACTGGAAGTTTTAAAAATTCTTAAAAATTAAAAAATATGTATTAGTCTAATTAATATACAGAAAGGTCATATTTTTTTTTTTATCTTCTTATAATTTCCTAATCTTTGATTCTCTAGCGATAACTAAAGCTTCAGTATGTTTTATATTATATTCTAATTGTTTAATCGTTTAAAAAATCAAAACTACTTAATAGTTTGTTGTATTTCATTCATAAAACATCAGATGATAATATGTAAACTAGTTTTAAAGATGCATGAAACTAGGAACAACATTGACAGATGTAATTCTGTTTATGAAGAGAAAAAAGTGGGTTCATTTTTTTTATACAATAATTTAATTTTCCCGCGTAATATAGGATCATTAATATTAATTAACCGAAAATATCTATTTTTCATGTCAAATTTCTGAGTGATAAATGCCTTTTGCTGTCCGTGTGAAACAAATTTACTTATTTATGAACTTGCATGAAAATAAATTTAAAATCTACAAGTTGTACCAAATTATTTGCAACTTATCTTTTGTATGTGTGCGTCATAACTACGCAGTTACGCATTTGTAGTAAAAAAAAACTTATTAATATCATTTTACAATGAAATAACTTTCTGTACAATAAAAGTGGTGTATCGGATTCTTATTAAAAATTTAAAACATAAAACTTATTAATATATTTATAGATTTTGCATACTAAAACAAAAAAAAAATAAAGGTCTTAATATTACAAGAAGTTATTTATTACGTCGAATCAGTAACCGAGTTTATTTTACTTGCATTCGAAGATAAATTATGAACTAATTTAATTAATTAAAATTAAACTTAATGCTACTAATTCAGGTAAAATTTACTCGATATGAGACTGTACAAAAAATGCTTAACAAAATAATAATACCTATTAAATGTTACTATGAAGTTACGTTCCCTATATAATGTATAACAATTATTTGAAGTATTGGTATGCGATGCTTAGTGCAAATTTGACTCGTTAAACTAAATGTAATCCGCTTCCCGATTACCATTCAATAACCCATTTTAATATTAACATGCAAAGATGGATGTATGAAAAATTGTTAACGCTCCCTTGTAGTGTGACAATGAAAATAGTAAAACAAAAAGTTTTATTACGAAGATTTCCAGTATTAATTCATAAATATACATCCATATTATCATAAACACTAATGAAATATAGTATAAATAAATTCTTAAGAAAAAGCAATACCTACATTTTTTTATTCTCTCAAAGAGATAATATTTGTTTAGTTTACATAAATTGAATATTATGAATACTTATTTTATGTTTCATGATTTTACTATATTCTTAACTATTCTTAACTTCGACGCGCGACCCGTGTTTTTAGTCCGGTCAAATTAGACATTGTTTGAAATATCATTAAAAACAAAATTTGAAAGTTGCCCATCTTCCCCTGTAAGGAAAAAATTTTATTCAAGGTCAAAGTTAAACAAAATGAGTTTTTTGCGATTTTCAGCAAGATGGTAAGTTTTATCATAAAAATATCTCAGACAAAAATTGTAGATCATAAAATTATCTACCAAGAATTTATTAATAGTTTTTTTCTACGAGCCACCGTTTTTGAGATATAATGATTCAAAAAGTTGTAAAAGTTGTAAGCGTCATAATATGCACACGTTTCCTCGCCACCTATGAGGTAGTGTAGGTACTTAGCTTTTTTTTGTATCTTCCCCAGTAGGTCTATTCCACGGGTCAGTTTTAATCTTGTTTAATTTGAAACTATTGATAAATAATGCATATTAGCAGAGATTGAAAAGATAAAAGCAATTTAAGTTAAAAAAAAAGTAGTGAAATTTAATCGTCCGATGTCGTAATTTTCAAAATCTCAAAAAATAATTTTCAAAATGAAATATTTATTTATTGTTATGATTTTTTAAATATCGATATTTTTATTGGAGCCTATGCCGCTCTTTTAATAAAAAAAAATATTAGTTAGTTCCTCTTGGAAATTTCTTCCGAGTGGATTAATAGGTACTTTTCGGTTACGGTTTTATAAAATTGTGTTGTATTATAAAATGCACTCCGACCAGGAATATTTCAATATGTTAATGTGTCTAGGGAAATGTGATTGTAATTATGCGGAATCGCGTAGACTTTATGACGAACTGTTTGCTTCTCCAACAAACATATCATTACCGTCTCTTAAGGCATTTCAGCGTCTTCATATACGCATGTACAATTTCTGAAATGTCGATGGCCGTGAATAACAACGTACTAAAGCGGGAAGGCCGAGGGTTAATAATGACGATCTGTCAGTGGTTCCCAAACTTATTTTGTCTACTGCCCACTTTGAGAATAAATATTTTTTAGCGCCCCCATTTTTTCACCTATTTAAAAACCATTAAATTTAAATTAAATTAATTAATTATTGTGACCTATATGTATATTATGTGTATTAACGGAATCCTGAGCGCAGTAGGTAACATACAAACGCTTAGGTCTCAAGTTAACTCTTACGGGCTCTACCTGGCAATAAGAATGATTATTGAAACGCAACTTTATAGTATTAAACTAGAGTATCTTTTATTAAAAATATCTACGATATCTACGAGTACTAATAACTGTTAAAATGGGAAAGTGTGTCTGTTGCCTTTTTATTTGTTTGTTTGTGTCTACTTTCATTACAAAACGGAGTGACCGATTGACAAGATTTTCATTTTTTCTATCTTCTTCTTCTATATATATAAAAATGGATTGCTGTTCCTTAGTCTCGCTAAAACTCGAGAACAGCTGAACGGATTTATCTTATCTTAGTCTTGAAATGTTCGTGGAGGTTCAGGGAAGGTATAAAAGCTGAAAAAAATTGATTCATTACTGGGAAAACCATAAAACAGCCCTTTTCTATTTCCCATACAAACCTTTTTTTCTTGACATTAGATTTGACAACTAAGTAATATGTCAATCATTCTGTCGCACTTTAGAACACGGAGATTTATGGCTTACAGGTAAACTCCAAAAATATAAATAAAAAACGTAATAGATATTTCTTGACTATAGGGCGATACGAAGTTCGCCGGGTCTTCTAGTATTCAATAAAATGGGACAGATATATGTATAATATTCGTTCTAAATCCCTTATAATTACCGAAGTTATTAAAAAATTATTGATAGGACGAATTTAACACGGTTCTTTTATTATTGGGTAGAGAAATGCTTTATACATATTTTTGTTTGTGGAGGAAGAAAAAAAGGTGAGTTATTCAAATAGAACTACTTTTTGGATTACTACACGCATTTTATTATTTAAAAAAAACTACATACTCCCTACGTTTCGGTTACAGCAACCGTGATCACGGACAGACATTTTGTTTTACATTACATTTAATTTTCATTGTTCAACATTTACTTATATATTGTAAAAAACAATTTTGTAATAATAATAGTGTATGGAGAATTAGCTGTAACAATATATTCTATCCTCTGTATCCATTAATAGACTTTCAAGATACTGCTGCCAACGACAATTTGATAATTCTCATTGGATATTAAGACTATTTTATTTTGATATGTACTCATCCCAAGAACTTTTCGTTGGATGCCGTTTAAACTGTGCCTGGATCTGAACGTTATAATATACCATTAGGCTAATAAAATATAATATCGTTTTGTTTTTCAAAATATATAATTTTTCATAATTTGGTTTTTTTCTTTTTCTTAAATTTCCTCACACGCTATCCTTTACATTTAAAAATATATTAAGAGGATTGTGAAATGCATAGTCAGTGTTATTTAATATATACTTTTTTTCACCGTTTGTTTTTATCAACAATTCTGTAAAAGGATGTCACGCTGCATTGTAAGTTATTTAATATTTATAAATTACATATAATAGGCGTGACATATGAAATATTATTTGTAAAAGATGAGGTTTCAATGTTTGGTGTAAATTTTGTATTGCAATAGCTTTTTAAACAAAGGATCGATGGAACTTGAAGAGGACGATAATTTGTTAAAAAAAAGTATATCATGAGGCAATGATTATAATATTTTACCAAATTATTGGGAAGAGGAACCAAAAGTTGAAATTGTATGTTATAATTTTTTTTATTGAGATCTAAAAAAATGTATAAAATTTTACAATGTCAGAATCTACTTTTTGACTCGTACTGTGATAGTAAATTAATCAGGAAACTAATTATTACACAATTGAGGATTAAATCCGGTTATGTTTTATTAAATGAATTTAAATACTCTATGAAATAATCGGATACACTTTACTGAGATACGTGGGCAGAGTCTGAAAATATTCACCATAATATGATACCGGGATGTGAAAGATGGTGACTGAAAAAAATAAAGATCACAGACGTAACAACTACTCATGATGTTCTGTTTAAACCTGAAAAAGATGGTGCAAAAAATATATATAACTTCATTCTGTGATCTGTCAGCGATAACAATGAAGCAATGTAATGGAAAGGCTACTCGTATACCTAATCATAAAATCCCTAAATAATATTCAAAAATAAAAATTAATATTAAAATAAGTTTAAAATTTAAATTACATTACATTGTCAATTGTTTTAAAGTATCTTCTTTGTGTTGAATGCTTCCCTAACAAACATACGTTTGTTTAAATGTGAAAATTGACGACTCTTATAACATAAGGCACTGAACTCTTAAGTTGTCATTTAGTCATATGTCAGTGTCAAAAGTAGCACAAATATGTTGTGGACGTTTGTCTCCATAAAACATTAATTTTATACTAAAAAATAGCGTTATATGTTATTCTAAACGAGTGATTAATATTTATAAAAATCAACAATGAGCAATCAAAATAAGGCTACGTTATCTGTTGATTTAAACAGCTTCATTTATGGAGTTTCTAGGCGAAATTTTCAAAATGCACCTGAACTTACTAAAATAGGTATAGGTTTATTAAAAAACTTCCCGGCAGCCAGAGATGCGGTGCTTGAATATTTTGCAATGGTTTTTCACGACGCCGTCAATATATCACTTAATCAAGACTATGAGGTTTGTTAATTTTTTAACCCGGTAAAAACAATAATTAAAAAGTTACACACTGATAATTTCTTTAAAAAAAATATCGATTTGTAAATGTACCTTAAGAGAGAACATTTATACTTTTTTATATATACCTATAACTTCATTATTAACTTGTTTTTACTGTAATACTTCTTGTATGGCAATTATTTTATGTCCTTTAGCCAGATTCCAATAATAATGGTTCATTGGAGAGTGTAAGCATGATCGGACCTGAGCTTTGCAATTTGGGAGAATCATGGGCACCATTCATCGCCCCATGGTGTATTAATTTAATAATGGATATTGCCACAGAGAAGGCTAATTTACCAAGTAAGTTTAATAATAAGAAATTATAATTATTATATCTTTTAACCTTAAATTTCATTTTACAAGACAAATACACTCATGTCTACTTGATTGTAGGTCGCCACTTGTAATTATTGTATGTAGTGTAATAAATAATCTTCTATACACTATAGCTTAGAAGATATTATCAGTACATTAAATTTTCTGTACTTAATACCATTAATTTTTCAATGTATTAATGTACTAGCAAAATACAACTCATACAATATTTTTACCGATAGATATAGAGATACTATGAAGTAAGATTCAAATCAAAAGGTTCTAATCTACAATAACATGAATAAAATAAAAACTTTGTTTATTACTACATATGTTGTATATAAACAAATATATATACAACTTGAATCTGACCACTCAATTTTGATATGCAAAAAATTTTTAGTTTATTATTTATTTAACATGCATATAATCTCATATATAAAACATTATATGTATTTTATAATTATCTATATGCTTGTATATAATATCTCTTTTCAGATGCTACTCTTCAGAACACTGATCCTATAAGAATTTTATTGGACATAACAACCCAGAATTTAACATTATTGAATTCTGAAGAGAGAGCTAAATGTATTGACATGATGTTGGGTTAGTATATTTGTAAGAATTATTATTAAACACAATGTACTTGTAATGGTGCCATATAAGATTATGAATGTATGTAAAAAGTGCTATAGTCCTTTCTGAAAATAATTCTATGTAATATGACCATATAAATCAGATGAATAAATTATTTTCTGTGTCAGAGATTACTAATATGTAACATTTTCGGATTACTACTCATTTCTTTTTCTGTCTTTGACAAACATTTTTTTATTTCATTACTCAAAACATTAATTTGTAAATCCAACCGTTGTGCGTCCTATCGTTGTTGTCTAGTAAGATGACTATGTAGTAATCTGAAAATATATGTTCCATTTAAATTAATAGTCGCGAAAGTCTTAGATATCAATATGTAGGATGATTTTCAAAATTGCTACAGTTTGGCAAAATAAAGTTAGTTAAAAAACACTGTATGGCATAAATTGCCGTATCAATTGGTGTTATGTTCAATGTAAAAAGCTTTCTTTTAATATGTATACTGCCCTCTCTATGAAACTGAATAAATAAATTGATTAAAATTCCACATAATGATTGTTAAGTTATATACACGAAAATAATGAAACACAATCAATTATGTAGTACTCTTTCATACTGGAGATCATACATAAAGATTTAAGGCCTGACCACATTGGGTTATGTCTTATATATAACTAGCTGCGCCCCGCGGTTTTACCCGCGGATTTCCGGGATGTAAAGTAGGCTATGTGCTATTCCCGGACGTCAGCTTCCTGTATACAAAATTTTATCAATCGGTTCAGCTGTTTGAGCGTGAAGAAGTAACAAACATACACACACACAAACTTTCGCAATTATAATATTAGTAGGATGAATATTAATGTACATATATTATATGTATTAGGTTGTCGTGCTTGTTCGTGGGCTGTGGGTTTAGTGGGACGTGCTGAGCCAGCGTTGGTGGCTCCCCGTGCACTAGCTTTATCCCCTGACGCTGCTCGTGCTGTCCTCGCACATCTAGCAAACCATCCGCCCGCACTTTACCATGTTAGGGCTGCGCTTGTGGACTTATTTCAAGTATGTATCTATAATATTGTACTGCTTTAGCTCATATTGCAGTGGTATGTCAGGATTTTTAAGACTTGTTCATAAGAATTATATTTTTTTAAATATTGACAGTGTATATAAAATTTAAGGCCAAATAATACTATTGTTTAGTCTAATATTTAATAAAAATGTATATGTAATGTGGATATTAAACAAATGCATAATATAATTTTTTTTCAGGAAGCCATCCGAGAAGATGGCAACCCTGACAAGAAGCGGGAAGTGATACCATATTTATTAAATCTGGCCTCTAAATCTGATATTGTTTTGAAAGCTTTAACCCAGGATATAGAAAACACATGTAAGCAATATTATTTTATATAATTTTTATTCATACGTTTTAATGTATAATCTTTTTTCTAATCTCCATTGAATTTATTGGCTATTTTATGTTATAGGTAAAAACATATTACAATAGCTCAAGAACTATGGTATCCCATAGTTTCTGTCATATTTCGTTAACTTAAACTATTAAAGAATATTATTAAATAATTTATTATGGTATAAAGAAACGAACTCATTAATATACAAATTATATTGGCACATGTAAATTACTTGAGTAATAAAACGTTAAAAATACTTTACATAATTTTGGAAAAGAGCTGATACTCTTACACTGCTGAATCGATATGTATAACAAATCGCAAGTAAAACTGGTTTTCACATGAAAAAACCGCATTAAAATCGGTTGATTTTAGAGCTATTTTCACACAGATAGATAAATGCATCCAGACAGCGATATTAACACTATACATAATATAAAGTCTATATTTTTAAATGTCAATAAAATTGCGTTAATATTACTTAACTTAACAACGTCTCCATAATTCAAAAAACCATCGTTGCAAGACCCATCATTGTTTATCAGTAGTATCAAATCACAGTTCTAACTTATATTGGTTATTCTTCAGTGACGGACGAGGTAGTCCTACGCCTACAAACAGTCCCTTGCCGCGGCGAGGCTGTGACTCCCGCTGCGCTCGTTGCTTTGCTGATGCGTTGTGATGCTCGATGCTATCTGCTGTTGCTGAAACACGCGCAGATGAATACATTCTGCAGGCATTTGCTTGGTAAACTATTTTTTTTCCATTGCGACATAGTAATTACTGTTACTTACATTATAAGGCTCAAAAGATCTCGTAAGGCCGCTAAAACATTTAAAAAATATATGTGTTACATATAATTGAGTGTGGGTAGTTCAACTAATATTACAAATATTTGTGATGTTTATCTTGCACGTAATATATATTGTTGTTTTTTGATGGTATCTTCAAAACTTCCAATAATATAGTTTAGACATAATGACATAATTTTATATTTAAATGTATGAAGTATGAAGTTACGTAACACAGACGATAGATGTCACTGACGGCTGGTTCATATATCTGTTATATTAATTATACAATATTATTTCTGTATCTTTGAATACATAGTCTAAATCTACGCAGCTGAAGTCGGAGATAAAAATTAATTTTTAATAATTCGATTACTTTCCAGAACAACTCCTGCAAAAGCTGGAATATGAAAATCTATTCCCAGAATCAAAAATACCTCTCCTTATAAGCTGTGCGGAGGAAATTAATATCTTGAGAGAGAAGCTTCTGGTCGGCAATAAATTAGAACAGTATTCGATAGCCAGGATTCTTATATTAGTCAGTGAGTTGTATAACGATGATAAATATTTTCTCTAGTATTCATTTTAATTAAACTAATATTTTTAGAATATACTACGCGACTTTATTTTTGATAAAAACTACATACTCCCGAATTTACGGCTACTTTACAGAAACCGTGATCACGGGCAGATGTGATTTAGTTTTTATCAAAAATTAAGACCCATGGTATATCATAAAAATATTAGTTTCATATATCTGTAACATACATACATAATCTTAAAAGCACTTTTCAATCTCATTTTCTTCATCAGGTTACAACTTTCCGTCGGAGTTCGTCAGTACTATCAGCTACCTACTACAGCATTCTAGAAGTGATACAACATTAGCGTTGTTGGTGCGAATAATTTCCGGTACCAGTAATATGCATATACCCAATGATGAGACTCTCGATATAGAGAGATATCAGAACTTCGTGAAGACCGGCGTGGAGTACGCGCTGAGGGACGCCATGATAGCTGACACACAGATTAAGAAATGCTTCATAGATAACGTTTCGAGCGATCAAAAGACTTTCCTGCATCATCTGTGCCTCAATATCATTACGTTGTTGAGGTATATAAAAAATTTACTTGATTCGAAGTATAGCACATACATAAATAGGTATCATAGTTTGGTCTTATTCGATGTATTATTTGGTACGGTCATAAACAATAAATAAAACAAATCAATACAGTTTAGTGTGAAATGAGATTTATTTTATCAGGTATAATTCATGCTTGTGTCTGAAGCATTCATGGTTAAGGCTTATTCGGTGTTTTAGTTCAGTCACAAAAAAATCAAATATCTATACATTTTAGTGTGTAATGAGCCTTATTTTTACAGATATCATTAATCCGTGTGTCTGAAGCCTAACGTTATTATTTCAGGTGGGAGAACAGCGGTCGCGTATCATCTCTAAGGTCCCGTAGTATAGCTCGCGCGGTGGAGGCCAGCGTGTACCGGCTGGGCGCGGTGCTGCGGGAGCGCGCGTGCGAGCTGCGCGAGCGACCCGCGGCGACTGCGCTCTCGCTGCCCGACATGCCCACCTGTCACGCGCTCGCTCAGGTGACGACCCTGATGAGAAATATACGTAAACGTGACAACCCTAACATATTATATATAGTCACTCATTGAACGAGTCTTTTGAAGGACGAAAGAAAGGGGGGGGGGGCTGGTTGAATTTAAATTATTTTTTAAATTTCCAATTCCTATTCTGCATTGAGTTATATTTATTCATGCTATAACTTATTTAGAGGCGGTTCACTTCTTTTTTATGATTATATTCTTTTAAGCATCATATTAAATTCAATTTAATGGCGGAGCAGTTTTGTATACATAGCTGCAGACAACAGTGTGTAAGGAGAATAATTATTATCTGTCTAAACATTTTTATATTATCTGTCAATTGTTATGCAGTTAATATACGATGAAGTGTAACCGTTTGAGTGTGAAAGAGAGATGCAAGATTAGTCATTGTGTGAAAGAGATCGAAAATAAAATAGGTTAGCTAAGAAAAGGATGCAAATATAAAGACAGTATTAAAATGTCGTTCGTAGTTTTAATACGTTTACAAGTGTATGAACCGTGGTTGAAAAATCGAATGCACACTTCCTGATAATTTTCTATAACTCCGAGCAACTATATATATTTAAGGTTATAAATGTAGTTTCTATTTCCAGGTCTTAGACAGGATAGATCTAACAGGCACCAAGTCTCCCCCGCCGAGCGTGGAAGCCATATTGAAAGTCGTTCAAGCAACTGTCAAATACTTCTTCAGATGTTTATTGGAAGACGGTAAATCGCGTTGTTAGAAACAACATTACAAATAGACATACAACAAAGCATTAAAAAAATAAGTTAACAATTTTTTTATTTTTTTTTACCATATATGTATATACCATCTAGCTTTCCGCCCGCAGCTTCGCCCGCATGGATTTCGGTTATATCGCGTTTCCAAGAGAACCATCAAAAGTCTGGGATAAAAACTATCCTATGTTCTTTCTCGGAACAATTCTATCTCTGTACCAAATTTCATTAAAATGTTGTTCCGCTTAATAATTCGTGCATGATGTGTTCTCCTGTAAATAATTGTGACAAATAGTTTTAAGATTTATTCATTGAAAATAGTATTTATTTAGTGTACACATTGTTGAAAACCAAAAAAATAAATAATTTAATCAGTTCATTGGTTTAGGCGTGAAAGCGTAACAGACAGTCAGAGTTACTTTCGCATTTATAATATTAGTAGTTAGTACGGATTCGAATGTATGTAAATCACAATATCTGTTATCCAGATATAATGCAGAAGGTCCGCGGGGTCCAGACGGCCTGCGGTCTGTTCCGCAAGGTCTGTGGCTACAGTAAGGTGGCAAGGAACGCGGCCCTTAGGGACCTGCTCGAGGCCTCGCTATTCAGATATGAAAGGGTCTTCACACAACACGACCGACACGACCGGCAGACAGCCGCCGACGACCTGCTGCTGTATATGAACAGGAAACATGTTAGTGTGGAGACACTTTAATGATGTAGACAACTTGGCGTGTAACGTCATAATAGGGCCTGATTAAGTTCTATACCTATACGTGTTTTAGTTAAACGTAAAAGAACAAGCAAATATATTAGTAATTTGTTTTATGCACGACAATTCGATTACTAGAATATTCAAAATCATTCTCTTTTATATTTCTAAGTGTTTCCAAAGATCAACTATAGACATGTCCTAGTAAACGTATAGCCTAAAGCTGCGTACACACATCACTAGATGGCGTTGCCGTTCAATGTCGAAAATATTTTACAATATTCTCTAAACCACCCTTTAAGCTATATATAGATATTATAATAGAGAAGCCTATCTCTCAGACATTACATAAAGCACAAGATGTCTCTATATGATATATAATTGTGTTATTTTTCCCCCAGGGTCCAATAACACAGCTGACCCAGTCCCATACGTCAGTGTTTCACGCCGGTGTGATCGGTAAGGGAGCTCGCAAACACAGCGCCGACGACGCCCCGCCCACTGACATACTCACCAGGGACAACGAGCTGCTCATGGGGGCGCTGATGGCCTGCATGGTACATACACACACACACACACACACACACGCATAGATAAATATAAATAATATACAGCAAGAATTATGTTAGTATGGAATATTAATTTATTTATTAACACCAACATGACATACATTAATAAAAGCGCAAAATACATTACTGAACAAGTAATAATAAAATCAAAATGTTGTCTTAATTATAGGTGTTACAAACATTTCATAGAAAAATAGACGCGTAACATGCAGATAAAATTACATAACATTAATTGCACAAAGGAAAATTAGAAAAAAAATACTAATAATCATCAACATAAATATCAAAATAATAATTAATATTGTATTATAAAAAATTAATTTAAAATATTTATAATTTTGTACTTTAATATCATAAATATCCGTCTAGAAGTTCTTACGGAGAGAAGCTGAATTTCTCACTTTAATATAAATAAATTTAACTATATATATGTCCGAGACTAGTAGCGACTATTTTCTTTAGATGGCCTGTATTAACTTCGATGTCCTAAGAGATGTTTATTAAATGATATTTCTTAACAGCAGGAGGGTAACAGCGGTATAGTAGAGGGCGCCACCTCCGTGTCTCTGTTGTTGGTGGAGCTGATATCACCCGACGTGATGTACAACGGTTTGCCGTGGCCCGATGAAGATTTTACAAAGGTTAATGACCTTTATTATGACAGATAAATATAAATTAGCAAGAGTAATATTTTGCTACGACCTCTGTGTATAACGGTTACATACATATTTAAATTTTTTCGACTTTGCTTAGCGTATTTTGCTATTTGAGACCATTAACAGTTGCATTCTCACATAAAACTGGACATTAATTTGACCTTTACCTACCTGACTTCAATTCATTTTTGGAACGTACTCCAAAGGCAGCCCTAGTAGGTTCTTTTCAAATTTGGTAGTGAGAGGAGCTTGGACATTGAAGGTGAGCGTTTAACGCGCATTAGATAATCCCTTAAACCTACACCTGGGTCGCAAGTCCCAGTCACTGTTGAAGCTCCTCTCCCTGCACCCGCACCGTGAATCTATTGAACACTAAGAGGTCATATTTGTCATTTATTATCTGTGGTTGTATTATAATCTGTGCTCCTTTCAGCAAGTGAGTATAGAACGCGAGTTATACACGCGCGTCTGTGTGGAACGATGCGGAGTGGCCCGCGCGTGCCTACGTCGTTGTGGTCGCGCGCGGCCGGCACTATGCCTCTCAGCGGCACTACTAAGGGCGGCTGCTGCTTCACTGCTGCACAGACTTAGAGCACATCTAGGTATGAAGTGATGATACTTAGCTGTTAATATGTCTTAATATTGCCGAATGTGAATTAGGTATAAGAGATAGCGTTTTATTTTGGTATATAGGTAGAATATATGTTGTTTAAGTTGACAAATAAGGGGGTTATCCTGTAATTATCTAGCCCTTCTTAATAAACTTTGTGAATTTAGTACTATGATAGATAAACGTAAAATCTTAATGCATAGAAAATATATATTCTGTATTCAGAATGTCTAATAAATATGTTTCTCTTGTTAAAAAAGAAGCGAAGTGCCAGAAATTATGTTTGGCTATTCGTACATAATCATATCTCGAATTTTTTGCTTGCGAAATCTATAGAATAAAAAGATTTAGTAATATTTTTCCTTAAACAAGAATTACTGAAAATATCAACATTAATATAATATTGATTTAAGATTTAATATAAGTTTTATTCAAATGAATACTCCCGGGTGTCTTAGATCTCATTATATGTTTATAAATGATATCTCATATTAATTTCTACAATAGTTTATATATAAGTCTCATGTATTTGTATTATGTTTGTTCATTCAGACCGTCACACCCAGTCATCCGAGCTTTCCCAGGAGCTCTCCGCTCTCAAAGAGCTCCTCACACTAATGACCCTCGGCCAACTGTTACCACACCCTCTAAGCCACATGCTGGAACTAGCACCTGAACTCACTGCCACTGAGGTGACAAGCATTCTGTATAATTATAGGACTTATTTTAATTTATATCCCTACTAATATTATAAATGCGAAAGTAACCCTGTCTGTCTGTCTGTTACGCTTTCACGACTAAACCACTGAACTGATTTTAATGAAATTTGGTACAGATAGAGTTGACCTTGAGAAAGAAAATAGGATAGTTTTTATCCCAGACTTTTGAAAGGTTCTCTTGGAAACGCAATTTAACCGAACTCCACGCGGGCGAAGCTGCGAGCGGAAAGCTAGTATTTAATATTTGTATAGTATTGTATTAAAAAAAAAGCAATATGTATTTTTCTAAATTTTTAATATTATGTTGATGTATTAATTAAGTTTTTTTGTTCTTATTTAGAGAGTAACTGAAATACAACAAAGATATATGTATTAGTATTAACAATCAAAAATTTCACTAAGTACAAGTTTTCTTTGTATGTGTCACTTTTTATTAAATATATAAGAAACTAGAAACTAAAATATTTTTCAAATTAATACTAAAATCTTGTAGATTAGGATTTAATGTTATTTATTGACGTTTATTTTAGAATATATATGGGTATGTACAAGAATAATTAAAAATGATCTATTTTGCAGACCGTACAGGTGTTAAGAGATTGTCTATGGAATTACACCCGCGACCACGTGCCGTCCCCAGCCTTATTCACGTGTGATGCTACAGGTTGTTTATAATAACTATTGTTATTACTTTTCATTAAACTTTTTTCACTCACAGTTACGGTTACTCAAATATAGGGAGAATTAAATATATGTAAAGCATATTTTTTGTCTCCCTTATTACTACTACTACTAAATGTTTGTAATAGATTTAAAATCAAAATTTTTAAATCAGCCATAGACAACCGTAACTTTTGCTTATAAGTGATTTTAATTATTATTATATTTAGTAACTATTTGTTCAATATAAGTAATGTTATCATCATTTGCAGGTCTTCACTGGCGTGATCCCTCGACCTGCAAGCCTCCAGCCCAATATACGGATACTTTACGTCTTATTATACAAAAGAGAATATCAAAACTCGGCCACATGTATCCGATCATGTTTTTAAATCTAGAAAAAGAAACTTAAAAAAATTACTGTATGATATTCTAATTATAAGTTAATAAAGTGCCTACATATTTTTCTATCTTTCTTTCATTATTATATTTATATTTTATTCCCATAATTTGTATTCTAAACAAGTTATTCACTTATTTTGTACAATTTTTTTTAATAATTCTAACTTATTGAGGATATATTTCCTATGAACGTTACCTTATAACTGTCAGTGTATCACTTTCAATGACTTTGTCACTTTGACATAGTAAGGTTATAATTGCTTTGTACTGTTGTTGTTTATCTACGAAATAAAATAAATTCTAATCAGTGTTTGAAATTTACTATACATGATTAAGCAATAAATATATTTTTTATATCGAATACTATTACAGAAAGAATGGAAGATACTTCGCCGAAACCAGTGTGCCTTATAATATTAGGTTATATGAGTTCAAAATATTTACACTTAGAGAGATCTTAAGACTTGGAATCAACGTGTTGAAATTTTCTCGTGTAGAAACGAATGTATTTATAATTTCTAGGTATGGCTGGTGCCGGTAAAACGTCTTTCACACGTCGTTTGGCTGGTAAAGTCACAAATGGAGTTAGGCCGTATTTAATTAATTTAGATCCGGCTTGTCGAGAAGTGCCTTATCCAGCCAATATAGGTATAATGTATAATCGATTATTAAATGGAAATTTAAAATATGTAGCTTAAAACTAAACATATTGTAGTCTTACATTCAAGCACTCTGTCTTCAGTTTTCATCAAATTACCACTAATTTTATTTCATTTTCATCGCTAATTACATTTTTTTGTATAGAATAAAAGTCTCTTTATATTAATTTAAGATCATATGATGTTCTATTATCACAATTATCTCTATGCATGTAGAATAAACAACAATATATGTATTTTAAATGATTTGGCAACTTTTTGGTATGCACTTCATATTGGAGCATAGTAGTATAAATGATGATAATACTTTTTAGATGTAAGAGACACCGTGAATTATAAGGAAGTTATGAAGCAATATGGACTCGGACCAAATGGTGGGATAGTGACCGCACTTAACTTGTTCTCAACCAAATTCGGTCAGGTTGTTGATTTAATAGAAAAAGCAGGAAAGAAACACAAGTACTGTATTTTAGATACTCCCGGTAAGCTGCACTAATCCTATTTCTAATAGACTAAGATAACAACATGATTATACATACCTGTTAGACAAAAATGTTTCCAAATATCTAGATGTCCAAAAGTTAAATGGTATAAAAGTTATAGAATTAAATCACTATTTGAATAGAAAAATAGCATCATACAAAAATAATGAACCAATTTAGTAACACTTTATATGTATAACTGTTTGAATAAAAATGTTTAATATGTATGTACTGTGAAATTTATATAATCCCTACTAATATTATAAATGCGAAAGTAACTCTGTCTGTCTGTCTGTTACGCTTTCACGCCTAAACCACTGAACTAATTTTAATGAAATTTGGTACAGAGATAGAGTTAACCTTGAGAAAGAACATAGGATAGTTTTTATCCCAGACTTTTGAAAGGTTCTCTTGGAAACGCGATATAACCGAACGCCACGCGGGCGAAGCTGCGGGCGGAAAGCTGGTTTAATATAAGAATAACAAACAGTTTTTATACTACCTAAAAATCAATTAAATTTTTTATCAATGTCTTCTGTTATAGGTCAAATAGAAGTATTCACATGGTCAGCATCAGGTACCATTATAACGGAGACGCTAGCTTCATCCTGTCCGACAGTCGTAGTATATATTATGGACACAGTACGGAGTGTTTCCCCCGTCACATTTATGTCCAACATGTTATATGCCTGCTCTATATTATATAAAACTAGATTACCATTCATCGTTGTCATGAATAAGGTCTGTATACAGAGAAATGTAATTTTAGTATTTAGTGGGATGAGTAAAATATACGGAGTGGTTGTTTTTGGAATATTGTTTTCGTGAATATTAATTTTTAAAAGAAAAATTAGTATGTTTTTTAAACATTTTTTTATGATTTTCATATTGTCCTAAAATTTTATCCTAAAAAATGTATATCGAGATTTAGAAGTAGTATTAAAACAACGATTTCATAAAATATCATACATACAGGGTGTATGAAAAACTGTGTCAACCCTTGAAGGCATGTATACATATAAGTATAAGCTTATTATAAAAAATAGTATAACTTAAAAAATATCAAGCAGACGTCAGTTACAGTGCATACGCAAATAAGTTTTAAATCGACATTATTCGAAGAAATGTTCTAAACATCTGACTCATACAAGGTCAAGACATCGTATAGTCGCAACGGCGCATGCGTGACCATTGACCGCAGGCGCCGGGCCGCCGGCGTTATTATTACTATTCTGTTAGTTGTTCGAATAGAGATTTGAAAGTGTAAAAATTAGTTATATCGATAAATATTCTATCGACATTTTCAATATTGCTATAAATAGTTATGCTTTTCACATTAAAATAATTTCATTTAAAATAACTTTTATTAATAATAAATATTATAATTTGAAACTTGTTCAGGTAAATTAACTACATATGTTGTATTATTAGGATAAATCGTTAATCTATTTCTGTTAAAAATGGTGTTTTACAATCAAACATAATATTAATGTTTGATATATCAAAATAAGTATCGAAATAATATGAATATTAAATATTTATTTATTGTTATGATTTTTTAAATATCTATATTTTCAATAATGTGAAAGTAACTTCAAGGTCGTCACTAGTAGCGCAGCAGCTGTGATGACGTCATTGCGTGTCATCGTGTTATACCAGGGTTTACAAACATTTTGTTACTCTACATATAATAATCATTTAATATTTAATTTTATTATTTTTACTGAAGAGTTTGTAAATGTAAGTTGTTTTATTATCTACATTATCGATACTGATAACGTAGTTAAGAGGGTTGACACAGTTTTTCATACACCCTGTATATGCTTATTCTTTCAGAAATAGTCCTAAACACATTTATTATATTGTATTTTCAGACAGATGTAGTAAATAACAGCTATGCTGTGGAATGGATGCGTGATTTCGAGGCATTTCAGGAATCTCTAGATGCCGAGGGTGATGGTGAAGGAAACTCATATGTAGGGAACTTGACTCGTTCAATGGCATTAGCATTGGATTCATTCTACACTGGCCTTAGATGTTGTGGTGTCAGTGCTCATACTGGAGAGGTATTATTCAATATAACTCATGAATTTCAGTCTTAGTGCAACAAAAGCAACAGCTTTAGTAGAAAACTAACAGTGTTGCCATCATCAATATTTATTTATTTATTCTTTATTGCAACCAATTCTAAATCTAAAAAATAACATTTTCGTTACAAATTATGTAGTTGCATGAGGTGCAACAACAATACTGAGTATTGTAAAAATAATAATAATATAATATATGAAGTGTTTTAGTTTAAGGTTTAATTATATTGGATATTTACTCCATTTTATATTATGTAGGATATTGAATTTTAATAATTATATATTGTTTGTTTTATAGGGAATAGATGAATTTTTCAAATTAGTTGATGAAGCTGCCGAAGAATATGAAAAGTAAGATAATTTATTACACTTTCATGAAAATTATGTCTGTGTGATTTTGATAACTTGTTTATTATTTTCCAGAGATTATAAAGCTGATTGGTTGAAAATGAGAGAAGAAAAACTTAATGAGCAAAAGAAGAGAGAGGAGGAATTAAAAAAGCCTATTAAAAGTAATAAATTTTTTATCATTTCTTATATTTTTTATGACATATTTTTAAATGTCGTAATTCCTATAAATGTCTATACATGATAAACATTTTTCAAATGTTCACTCATGATATTAGATGATAATTTTTTTTAAGTGTAATTAATATTAAAGAAATTACAGAGTTTAAAATCTTGTATATGTCACATTGAAAACCAATCAAAATAACTTTATTCTCCTGTAAATAACTTTGCATTGCGTATATTTTAAATTGATTCGTGGATGTACAATATATTTAATACCTTGAGACGTTTAGTACTCAAGGTTTTGCGAATATTGATTGGTCTTTAATTATAAGGTTTTAATGCAAAAATATTTTTTTTACTTCATATTATCGAAATCATAATCGACCGATTTGCTAGGTAGCAAAGTGTTGAATATATAAATATGTTTTAATTCTGTATATTCTATATCAAATATCTTAATGACCACTTTTTTTTCTAGCCGATCCAAATACGATCATAGAAAAGCCGAATCTAATAGAAGAGGTTCCTGGTGGCAGAGAAATCAGTGATATGTATTTGTCACATCCCGGAGATGAGAGCTCTTCAGATGACGAGGGCGAGGAAACCAGGGAAATAGGTATAGTATTATTATGTATGTATATATGGATTATAAACTATAGATATAGTAGCCGGCACATATCTATTCAAGGTTTTGGTATATTGGGATAAGTTTGTTTCTCACTTTTATTTCTCAATGTACAAGGAATAAATGAAAAATGTGGTATAATTCTTTAACATTATACAAAATGTCCATAAAATTGTAATAGTCAATATCTGAGTATTGAAAAGCATTCTGTGAATTTAACATGACAAATATCAACCAAATTAATTCTAAGTAAGATAATTTATCTTTACATTAATATATTAAGGATGCAAAAAAAGTTAAAACTTTTTTTCATGTATTATTCATATATGTATTGTCTTTTAATGTTATACATATTTATATATTTCAGATGACAAGCCCGAAGATGTCGCGGAATTCCAGGAGTTTATAAGAAACCACATTAAGACAAACAATAATAAAACGTAGAATAAAATATATAAATTTTATTATTTCATTATTATCAGTTGTTTAATAAAAAAATGTAAATGGAGTGAAATTAAATTTAATTGTTCAAATGTTATACAATCATAAAATATTGTGATATCCATGTCAGCCGTAAAATCACCAAGCAAGCAACCAAATAGTGACAAAGTAAATTTAACAATAGTAAACAAAAAAGTTACTAAGTCATTAAATATATACATATATGTATATACATATATATAGAAATGTTTCCCTGTATTTTTTTTAAGTGGTTTAAATAAATAAATAAGAAACCAATACCAAATAAATGGATTTGTGAGTAACATTTGGAATAAGTAATTGTTTTGAATAATATAAAACAAGTATCTTATTAAGATTAGAAATGATGCCAATAAAAATAGTACATATATGGACTGTCAAAAACAGAAATATTAAATTAAGATATAAATATACAAGCTGTATATTAAGTTATAGTATTAAGTACAAACAATCTAATTTAAAGCAACGGTAACAATGTTCATATCAATTGAGACTTCTAATCAAATGACCTACAACCTTTAGATAATATATTTCAATGCTAGCAATTTATCTATATATAATCATTGATCTATTTGATTTTCTGTGTTAATGTGTCCATTAGTAGGACCTCTTCCAGCCCTTTCTAGCTCTGCATCAGCCAACATCCACGCCGGATGATACATTGTCCTTCCATTATCAGTAAAAGCTAATGATTTGTTTGGTAACGTATTGTAAATACTACCTATAGATGTGTACCTGAAAAAATATTGCTCTATATATTTCTATACCATCTGTATCAATTTGTACATATTAATTAATAAGCCAGTATAATTATAATTGTTAGACTATTGAATTCTTTTAAAAAGTGAAACTTTTTATGTGACTTCCAACTTGGTTGCGTTAAACGTTTAACACCATGAGGGGGAGGGAAAAAAAGAGATAGAAAGAGGGGATGCGGAGCACACGAACGCACGGTGGGCTATCAATTGTGATTTGTAATTTGTATGTAATGCAAAAAACAAGTCTGTCTTAAAGAAACACTAAATATGCCTTAAATAATAATAAATAATAATCAATTTCTATTTTTTTTCCTGTTTTCATTCTAACATAACGAAGTTTCACTTCTTCCACGCGGTGGGACTCTACATACATTTTTTTTAAATAGGGTTTGAACCAAATAGGTTGTATATAAAAAGTTTTTCTTTACCAATACATACCCTCTATCATATAGTTTACAATAAGGCACTTTTCTTTGTAATATGTAACTCCATATTTGATGGTAACTCCAGTTAAGTAGTGGGAATACTCGCATCATTTGAGGCCAATTTGGATCTGTTTTCTAAAACCAAGTTTTATTGAAATATTTACCAAATTTCAATACACACAACTTGCTCCAAAAATAGCCACAGTCAGTCTAGCAGTTAATATAAATATTTCCTTTGTTTATGGGAATCTGATAAATTTGAGTTAAATTCTTAGGGGGAAAAAGCGGTAAAAGTTTGAGTGTGTATATACTATGTATTTATTAACATTAAATAACATTAATTACCTGCATAAAGACTAATTTTTCACTATGAGGATCGGTTCTTCTTGTTCCCATTAAACCAGCTTTAACACGTTTATCACTTTCCAATATCCTTTGTAAGGTCGCCTTAAGTTCACCTCCCATCACTACTATTTCGATTCCATAGTATAATTCTATTTCCTTAACGAATTCTTCTATTTCTATAAACGGCCCCTTAGTCTGTATGTACACAACCTTTAAGCCTTTAGCTACGTCATTTGTTTTAAATTTAGTTTTGAGTACACTAATTGTGAGATCCAACAACACTGTGCAGTCCTTGCCACCATTGAAGCATAAAAATACTTCGTCTAATTTGAACAAATTAAAGCATTCCTCAATGACCTGGAAATAATTCATCATTATCTAGATTTGTAGATCTAGGTGTTCAAAGTAAGTATTTTTTTATTGCAGAAACGTGAAAAATTATGAAATCCGTTCAGTTATATTTCAGTTCATTGTACCACCTAAAGGTAGTATACTGTTTGCAAACGAATTAAAGTTATATTAAATACGGGCTAGATAATTTTTTATCATACTAAGCAAAATATTTGTAAGGAATGAATAGTAAGTCCGATATTATAATTTTTTTTTACAAGGATTTTCATAAATGTATATTATACCTGTTTCGATTCCTCAATAACAGTTTCTATGTTTTGTATATCCATGACTTGAGTTCGATTCTAACTGAAAATACAATGGCTTGTAAAACTCAATTACAATGCAGATTATTCCTTGTTTAATTTCGAAGAAACCTTGAATAAATAGAAAATATTTTCTGTCTTATTGCGGCTAAAGTCAATAATTTGAGTAGGTTTCGAAATTTTAATTATTGTTTAACTATCGAACGTCGTTTTTTATAGTTTAAAAGTCTGATAAACAGTTTATATTTGTAAAACTAAATGTTTATTTATTTTATATAGAGTACATTTTATACATAGTCTTTCTGTAAAATACAGTTGCTTGCTTTTTCAAATCGTGTTTACTAAAAATTTTTTTGTCAAAATTAAGTTGAAAATTTAAATTTTCCTCTTAGCCTTAGAACAAGCTATTTTTTTTTAAAGATTTGACTGTTCAATAACTTACTTCCAATGATTTTAAAATCATGAGTTAAAAACCAATTGAAAATTAAAGATTCAAATTTGATAAAATAATCTTTATTCTAACTTAAAAACAGTATAAAAAATATATTTCACTATATAGTGTTTTACAAAATATTTTTTACTTATTAATAAGAATCATGAATCCAAGCACTGTTTTTTGTTTGGAGGTTCAGAAGTTGCTTCAGCATCTGATTGAAATAAAATATCATTTATTTTAAGTGTAACTCTCATCATTTCCTTTTTTGGTGATACATTTCTGACTTTAAAAACATCTAGAATATGCTTTGAGGAATTTTCTCCTAGATTGTCAATTACCATAGCCTTAGCTACTAAATAAGGATCATCACCGGTAGCAAAGCAGTATACATATACCATAATATCATTGGTTAGTTTGTTTTTCACCTCATTTTCACTGATAAGTCCTTTGAAATGCCTTAAAAATTCTACAGCTAAGGCCGGCAAATTCATGGTTAAGTGTATCTTTGCTTTTGGTTCCAGCTTGTCAGTCCCATTGCAGCAATCAATAATAAAAGTCTTGAAGTTATTACACAAGAAATCCTTACCATCAATATTGTATGATTTAAAGTTATTCATATTAAGTTTATTTATTTTTGCATTATGGTTCAGCCATTTGAAGGATTCAGGGTTTAGATCATTAGCAAATACTCTGCATTTGTATTTTGCTGCAGGTATAGCGAAAGGTCCAACTCCACAAAACACATCAAAGAGCACATCTCCCGATTGGAGTAATTCCAATATTCTCTCATGTTCTTTGCAAAGTCTCGGATTCCAGTATACTTTTGAAAAGTCAAAGGTGAAGTTACATCTGTTTTCTTTCACTGTGACCATAAAATCTTCGTCACCCGCTATAACTTCCATAGCAAAGTTTCTATATGTATTATCAATAATATTACTTTTGTTGACAACAGTGCGGCAAGTCTTAATTTTGTCAACCAACACTTGACCAATTAGCTGACTATACTCTAACAAGTGTTCACGAAGATTAAGATGGATTATGTGACCGATTTGTGAAAACCCACTAACTATTTCTTCATTTTCTGGTAAAACTGATTTGAAAATTTGATCATACTTGAAATTGTCATAAGTAAGCTGGATTTCGTGTTTATCAAAGTCTTTTTCATTTATGTCATAATTATCCAGTTTAGTTTGGTCTTCTTTTGCGATGTCACTCCATTTATCAACTTTGTCAGGGTCAAAATAAATGTATTTACTGGAATTTTCAATGGTTCCCGGAACATTTTGTACAGGTTTGAAGTTTTCAAGTTTCAAAAAATAAGCTTTGCATATTTGCGTAACCTTGGATAAATATTCATCAGATACTTTTAAGATCGGTACTTTTATGTAACGTGAAAAATTTTTGCGATCAAGAATTTTCATACCACGAACGCCACGAGGTACTAATGATGACAACGATGAAGACGACATTCTACTGCTACTTTTGAAAATATATATAATATTCCGAACAAAACACAAGTTCATAATAAAATGAACTTAATTCGAATTCATACTAACCTATTCCTTAGCCGACACAGACATCTCGAAGTGACAATTAATTTCATTATTCAATTTCAGACATCGCGTTTGAATTTTGTATAAAACTAATTTTATATACACAATATTATAAGAAAATGTGTTTATAATTTAGATTTCCGAAAAGAACTGACGATTAATGACTGACGTTTGAATTATGACAGCATTATGACAAAATGCAATCACAGAGACCTACAACATGAGATAACTGTTTAAACTTTAAAATAAAAGATAAAAAAGTAAATGTATTATACAGTAGTATAAGCTATGGACTTATGATTATAAGATATTTTATAAGTTGAAAAGCTAAAAGTAAAGAAATCAGGACAATCTAAAGGTTTTTGGGCTTTATTTTTAATATGTTCAGTGATTACTAATTTCAATATTTTCTTAGGGACTTGTCCCTTTTCATCGTCGCTTTTGGGACCTATTTTCAAGTTAATAAGTATTGATTAAATAATCAATAAAACAAATCAGTAAAATTTCTCGATAAACAAGTTCTCAAAGGAACGAAGCTCTGTGAGTAAATTTTTATTAAAACCATTTCCGTTTGAAATGATAGGTATAACATGTAATATCGATGTGCATCGCCAGTGCTGATATTTAATTTTTTATACCTTTTTTGTGTTCTGCCTGACGATGACGAATGATTGAAAATTTGTTATTGTACTGGGACAATACTTTTTTTTTACAAAAAAGGCATTTAATTTGAAAAGGCAAACTACGCCTTTGTTCGTATATTTTGTAACGTATCTTATTACTCTTTAAATAAAGGCATTACTTTCTTAATAAACACTATGAGATTGTATCGACGGGTAACCAATTATAAATTGATCTGTAATATTGATTACATTGTTTTTAAAGATTAATGCGTGAAATTGATTAGATTGAATTTTTAGATTATTTTTATACATATATCGTACCTTTTATATTGCAATATGTCTTGACAACAGCATTGTTGGACCAACAAGGAGACAAAACAAAAAAGTACAAAGCGGCTGTCATTCATTATTAAGTGCAAGAGGAATTGTTTGAGCCTTGTCGGTTGTCCGGATTTTAAATTCGATGGTTCAAAAATTAATTTTTAGAAAAAACATCAAAAGTTTTAGAAAAAACATCAAAAGGAACACGATTTGATATGCAATATATTTCTAAAAACACATATCTTAAAAATATAACTTTTTAAATATCGGGCTCATAGATATTGAGAAAAACGAGTGAGGTTGTGTAAATGTGACGATATTGCTAATCACGTACAGGATTCTAGACTCTACTTCTTGACATAGAATTAGAATTTCTCTCCAATGAATTTACCCTGGTGGATTTAAGTAGTTTTAAAGAACTCAGAATCAGTTGTGGATATGAACCTGTGCTTCAATAGGGAAAAGTGATTAAGGCAATGTCACTGTATTCAGTACCTCCTATTTTTTGAACGCTAATAAAGATTAGATTTCCAATCTGAAGCAATCTTGATGAACATATTATGTACTTTTGATTATACAAACTTCAGCGAATGTTCCGGAATTAAGAATTATAACATTTTGACAAATTTCCGAACGTGTGCTATCTCAGGATTGAATAAGATATTGAGTTTGCTGTTTACTTATTCTTTTGTAAGATTTTTGCTAACCAACATACTTTAAAACTTGCTTATAAAGATTACTTTATTTTGATTTTGTATATTGATTTTATATACTTTTAAGGTTACTAGTATTTCGTCAATAATACGCTAGTTTTCTTTTAAATAATCTAAAAATTGTGAAACAAGACTATATTTTCAACCTGTATATTAGTAAGGATTTTATAAAATATGTCGCCCTTATTGGAGACCGAGTAGACATGTTCTTTATTTCATGAATACAAACCTAATGTGGCAAAAACAGGTGCCTTACGACTAGAGCTAATTTAGGAGCACATGTTTTGATAGCAGCGGTCTTAAATCTATTTGAGGTTTATGACTTGTTGGACTATTTCCCACAGCAGCATTTTTATTATTTAGAGTGAAATGTATGTAATGATTGAAGTTTCCGTCTCTCTCCCGTCAATAGTAGAATTCAGTGAAGCGGAGCATAATCTTTAGTCTTTATATATTTTTTTCATTTCTAAGGCGGCAAACGAGCAAACGGCCTGCTTCATGGAAAGTAGTCACCGTTGGCCATTGACATCTGTAACATAAGGATGTTGCTGATGTGTTGCCGGCTTTGATAGTTGATTGTGGGAAAGAGAAAGGAAAGGGTGGGAAAAGGACTACTAGCTCCCTCACTCATCGGACGAAAAACAGCAAACTGGCACTTCCCCGTTCGAGACAGCCCATGTTCGTGCTGCAGTGACTGGACTACACCTAGGCTCTAGCAATTTAAAATATTAATATAACAATTGAAATAAAAGCAGAAAAGCATTCTATAGGTTTTATTTTATATTTATATTGTAAATATATCCGAATGTAATTTTTATTTGAATTTCAATTCAAACATATCAGGATTGACACTTGTATGGCTTCAGTGAACCGTTTTTAGTTCGTATGTTTTTGTTTATCGGTTATCAATTTAAGGATTTCTTGTTTACGACCATATATGTATAAACTGTTTCCTTTGTTTTTGACACACTACTGTGAGTCCAAACTAGCGTTTGAAATCCGAAAAATAATATATGAAACACAAATCAATAGATAAAATTTTTCGCATGTCCTTTAAAACATTTTGACAAAATTACAGTAAGTTCTAATAGAAAAGGTTTTCATTATAATAATTAATCATATACTTTCCGTAAATTTGTCATGGATATTTTTATTAGTAGACTTAATGTCAAGAACTGTTTATATCAAACCCATTTAATTTCAAAACATAATGATTCTAAATGTTTTACCTCTAAAATCCTCTTGTAAAATGATATTTTATATCTGTGATCTCTATTTGCGGCTTCAGGATATAAAGGCTTAGGTTATGCGGAGACTTTAAGTTCTGCATGATTTTGAAAGAAACTTTAACTGCAAATGATAAAAATCTTTACCGACTGTAAGACGTTAGTTAGTAAATTATTTACTTAATTATTTTATACTATTTTTTGACCGCGACTTCGTTTGCTTTAGTTCCAGAATTAGAAATGTATGCTGACCGGGCGAACTCTATTCTTCATTAAACACATTATTAATAACAAGATTGTGGATTTGATCAACTTATAATTTTTTCTTTTTTAAAAATATCCTATATCGTTTCCTTTGTTCTAAGCTGACTCCCCACCAATTTTCAGCCAAACCCATACAGCCGTTCTTAAGTGATAAATAGTGTAACTAACACGAACTTCTTTAATATATAATTAGAATAACGCAAAATATTCTAAATATTAATAAACAGTTAAACGTTTAATTCTCACAACACCACGTAATTATTTACGAAGTAAATCGTCTTTTAAATATAATATCTCATAATTCAGGTTGGATTATACAAAATTTCGAGCTGAAATATCATCGTCAACGTGTTAATTCCGCAGTGTCATGATATTAAAGACATGAAAGGCAACAAAAACTGTCCCCGTCGTAGTTCTGTTAATGAACCAGGGACAATCAACTTTTCTTCGTAGAACAGAACATTTAATTTACAGAGAATAATGGGATATCCAACGAATAGACTGTCATTTATCATTAGTTTAATGATTAAGTTATTATCTTTATAAAATTAAACTTATTCAGCGAATTACAGAGTTTAAACGTAAATAAAGAATAAAGTTTCGTAACATTTGTTTTCGTTCAGATATATTAATAAATGGAAGTGATTTTATATCTTTAGTTTTAAAACCAGTAAGTGTAATATTTGTTGATAAATTGCATTTCTTCTTACCTTAATTATAATTGTCAGTATTATGTAGATCGTGTCCGAATGAATGGTTTATACTACTAGCCATGAATTTGGTGTGGTTTTTTGTATTTATCTAAGTAATTAGGGAATTATTTTAATTTATGTAGTATTACAGTTTAGTTTTAATTTAACGCGTCTGTCTCATAAGAAGTGTTTTTCTTTTACAACAGGAGTGGACCATTCAAACTTTATTTAAGCGTCCAGTAATGAAATATCTTAGTACTTGTTGTTTATTATTTTGTTTTACAGTTATGTTGCTTTGGGATTATTTTAATTTAAAATTTTTCTTTTTAAAAACATGTCACTTCAACTTTGATTCCATTTTTTATTATAAAAACAAATGGCAAATTTCCGTCATGTTTACTATATTGTATAGAAAATAATCGTTATTAATATAACTTTTTCCCAAAGAGGGTTGATGTCAGTCAGGCGGCCGGTCGTAAAAACAATTAGCCAAAACTATTCACAACATGTAAGGCAGACCCTGTCTAAAGCTGGGAAATTTCCAGAAAGAAGAAGAAGAAGATGTATATATATGTAATTTGTATTTCATCAATTTAAAAGAAACTATTTGAACATTATTTAACATAGATTGTTATCACTTTTAATAATTGTGTAACATATTATGTAAGACCTATTAACAAATAGCTAGAAACATATAACAGCAAAAGTACGTCACGATTTAATAATATTTTTTTCTTTTATTATTACATCATATTCATAATCGTGATTCATTGATATCCATTATTTTCAGTTACAATGCAATTAACATCTATAAATTCTTGTATTCGTGTCCACATAAATAATTTTTCATTTCTGCTCGTTATAGCTACGTGCTACTGGAAGCTGTTCCACTGTTAACTGTTGCTGGGGTATTGAAGTAGATTTGATTGTTGATTTATTTATTATTGATTAGGAAATATCCATTTTATATTACTATAACAACAGATGTACGAGACGAAACTTCTCAGCATTCCATGGATTCACCGTGCGGGTGCCGGGTCCATCGCGTTGCAGGGAGAGGAGCTTCAACAGTGCCTGGGACTTGCGACCCAAGTGGTTGTTTAAGGGGCCCCTTAACTAACGCGCTTTATA